AATCTCCTGTCTATAAAGAGAAAGGAAAGAAATGCCCCAGAGCCGATGTCCATGGTGTTTAATATAATCACAATGTCACAACTATCACCACTGTCTAGTTCCCAAATATCTTCATCACCCCAAAGGAAAACTCCTGACCCATTGCATGGTCTCCTCCCCACTTCACAACCAGAATTCTACTTTCTGTCTCTATAAATTTCCCTGTTCTGTAAGTGGAGTCATACAATGGGCCACCTTTTGTGCCTGGCTGCATTCACTTAATTCACTGTTTTCAAGGTCTGTCTCTGTTACGTGTTATGTGTCAATGCTTCATTATTTTACTGGCTGAATACTATTCCAGTGTGAACAGGGTTGGTGGTGCGCACCTGTAATTTTAGCACTTGGAAGGTGGAGACAGAAAGATCAGGAGTTCAAGGTCATCCCTCAATACATGTGAGTTTGAAGTCATCTGGGATACATGAGAACCCCCAAAACCAAAACAGGCTGGGAAGATGGCTCAGAGGGTAAAGCACTTGACATGAAACCTTGATGACCTGAGACCCACAGGGTTGAAAGAGTGAACTGATTCCTGCAAGTTGTCCTCTGACCTCTACATGTGCCTATGTACATGTACATACACCACATACACAATAATTAAGTAAATAAGCAATTTAATAAAAACCCTTTAAAACAAGCAAAACAAGACAGTGGCTGGGCTTAGTGGGCTTGCTATGTAAACAGAAGGACCTAAGTTCAAATCCCTGACACCCATATAATGAGCCCAAGCATGGTGGCTCATGTCTGATACAATCCTAGTATGGGGAAGTAGAGATTGGCAGGTCCCAGGAGCTCAGTGAGCAGTCAGTCTACGCTGGTGAGCTAACAGTGAGCGAATGGGTCAGTTTTTTTTTTTTTTTTTTTTTAGACAGGGTCTCACTATGTAGTCCTGGCTGGCCTTAAACTTGCTGTGTAGACCAGGCTGGCCTTGAATTCACAGAGATCCAGATGCCCTGCTTCCTGAGTGCCCGTCAGGTTTGGTCACAAGCACCTTACCCACTGAGCTATCTCGCTGTCCTCTGTTTAATTCTTTGGGGTATTGTTCCAGTTTTATTCTGTTGCTGTGATAAAACCCTGACCAAAAGAAACTTAGGGGAGGAAAGGGTTTATTTGGTTCACACTGCCAGGCCTCAGTCCATCACTGTGGGAAGTCGGGGCAGGAACCATGGAGGTCGCTGCCGGCTGGCTTGCTCAGAGGCAGAGGCTGGGCTCGCTTTCTTACACAGTCCAGGCCCACCTGCCTAGGGATGATGCTGCCCACAGTGGGCTGGGCCCTCCTGCATCAATTAACAACCTAGACAGTTGCCCTCAGACAACCTCACAGGCTAATCTCAGTTCTTCAATTGAGGCTCCACTCTCAGATGTTAGTGGACAGTTCAGGTTAACCACAACAGGTAAGTTCCCAGGAGTGAAATTGCTGGATCATTTGATAATTGCAAAATAATTCCATGTCTTGGGACTGAAGAGCCGATTTCAATTACCAGCACCCACATGGCAGCCAACAGCTGTCCATAACTCCAGTTCCAGGGGCTCCTACACCCTCTTCTGGTCTCCGAAGGGTTTGCAGGACAAGGGTTGTTTTTACATACATGCAGGCAATGCACTCAAACACATGAAATAAAAACAATAAAAAAGTTCCATGACTATACACCCTTGCCAATGTTACATTTTTCATTATTCAAAAACTACAGCCTGATGGACATGGTGTTGCACACCTTTAATCCTAACACTCAGGAGGCAAAGGCAGGTGGGTCTCTGTGAGTCTGTCTTCATAGCAAGTTCCAGGCCAATAAATAAATGAAACAACAAAACCCAAAAAACTACAGCCATCTAGTGAGCACAAAAGGGCAATTCATTTTCAGTTTTATTTGTTTATTTTGGTTTTGGTTTTTTATTTTTTGAGACTAGGTCTCCCTGTAGCCTCAGCAGGCCTGGAACTCCCTATGTAGACCAGGCTGGCCTTGAACTCACAGAGATCCACTTACCTCTGCCTCCCAAGTGCTGGGATTAAAGTCATGTGCCATGATGCCCAGCAACATTTTGATTTTCATTTTCCTAGTGACTAATCACACCAAGCACTACTCTTTGCAGACAGGATCTACCATGTATCCCAGGCTGGCCATTGTGTAGTTGAGGATGATCTTGAACTTCCTGATCCTCCTATCTTCACCTTCCAAGTACTGGGATTACAAGTATGCACAGCCAATGTTGCTTTCACCCTTAATACACAGAAACTTGTTCTGAACTGTTGGTCTGTAAACCCATCAAGGATATCCTCCTGATGGTGTGTCCTGCATGGGCCGCCAGGTGGAGCTTCAGCACTATACAACCACATCTGAACACAGTGCTTGCCTCGGTAGACAAAGATTTTTTTATTGTTCTTTTTGAGACAGGGTCTCCCTGTAGCCCCAGCTGTCCTGGAACTCACTATGTAGACCAGACTGGACTTGAGCTCAAGGAGATCTACCTGCCTCTGCCTCCCAAGTACTGGGATTAAAGGCATGTGCCACCACGCCTGGCATGATTTTCATTTTTTTTTTTAATTAAAAGAATCTTTGGTTTTCTTTTCCCTACACACACACACACACACACACACACACACACACACACACACACACACACTTATGTGACCCAGACAGGAGAATTCTAAAGTTGAAGCCAGTCTAGGCAAGACTCTGACCCAAAGAAGGCATTTAGGGACCCTCAAGAGCATGGGGTACACCTGTTAATGTTTACTAAATCACAAATTAAAAGTAAAAAATGAAGAATATATTTACTCATTCATTTTAAAACCACAGTATTTAACCTATTGCAAGTTAATCTAGTTCTCTGTTCAACCTTAGTTGCTGTGACCGAGTAAGTGACCTTCAAAATCCAAGTTTAAGGGCTGGAGATGTGGCTCAGTGGGTGGAGTGCTTGCCCAGCATGCACGGAGCCCTGAGTTGGAACCCCAGGACTGCATAAACAGGGCTTGGTGGTGCACACCTATTATCTGAGGACCTGGGAAGTGGACACAGTATTATCATAAGTTCAAGGTCATTCTCAACTACATTGTGAGTTACAGGCCAGCCTGGGCTATGTGAGATCACATCTCAACAAAACAAAACAATACTCAAGTTTACCTTTCTAAGCCTTGGCCTCCAAAGGCACGCCTCTAACAGTGACTACGTAGTGACATGAGCCCTTACTAGATCATCCTGTAAGGGCTTTGACTGAGCTCTGCACGGGACTCGGTGGGGCCCTTTTGGACCTGCTCCAGCCATTGGAAAATATAAAAAGCAAAGTCTGTGGCTGAGGCTTATCACATAAACAAACCAAATTACAACAGATGACCTGACAAAAGTGACTTAAACAAGGTTTTATTTTGACTTTTTAAAAGCAAAAACAGGAGCTGGAGAGACGGCTCAGAGGTTAAGAGCACTGGCTGCTCTGGCAGGGGACCCAGGTTCAGTTCCCAAGACCCACATGGTGGCTAACAACTGTCTGTAACTCCAGTTCCAGGAGATCTGGGTGCCCTCTTCTGGCCACCTTGGGCATTGCATGACACGGGTGCACTTATATGCAGGCAAAACACTCATAGAATTTTTAAAAAGCAGCTGGGGCCTGGCGTGGTCGTGCACGCCTTTAATTCCAGCACTCAGGGTGGCAGAGGCAGGCAGATCTCTGAGAATTCAAGGCCAGCCTGGTCTATATAGTGAGTTCCAGGACAGCTGGGGCTACAGGGACACCCTGTCTCAAAAAGACCAAAAAAAAAAAAAAAGTAAAAACAATCCAGAAATCAGGGTTTTCACAGGAGGACTTCAAGAGAATTCTTAGGGCACTTCCATGTTCAGTGTGTGGACGCCCTTCCTGGGCACAAAACCTCTGCAGAAGTTCCAACCTTCTCTCTTCTCTCATAGTCAAAGTAGAGGAAGAGGAAGAGGTGGCCCTTTCAGATTCTATGATCAAGGGAAAAGAGCTTCCCCAGGGGCCTGAAATTTTCCCCTTGGGCTCCCTTGGCCCCTAACCTTTGCTTGAGTAATAACAAGGAATGAGCTGTGGCAATGTGTCAGCTGGTGCCTTAAGAAACTGGAATTCCAGTCTGAAGGCTGTTGGCTCCTAGCTAGGGCACTGATGGTGCCTGCCAACGACCTGCCCCCACCCCCGAAGCTGGAAAATGCCGGGCTGAAAGCTACACAGCCAGCAGAAAACAAAGGCAGGGTTTGAACCAGATCTGCAACTGCCTAATCCCCTCTCTCTTGAGGCCCATGTGGCACTTACTAAAGTGTATGTGTAGCCAGGCGTGGTGGCACATGGCTTTAATCCCAGCACTCAGGAGGCAATGACGGGTGGATCTCTGTGAGTTCAAAGCCAGCCTGGTTAATATAGGGAGTTCCAGGCCAGATGGGGCTACAGGGAGGCTCTGTCTCAAAAAGACCAAAAATCAGTCATAAAGTATATATGTGACAGATCACAGGGGCTGTGGTGACCGTTTTTACTACCCCACTTCTCCAGCAGGTGGGGGGCCTCACTCCAGTCTGCAGTTCTATCAAAGGGGCTGGATCTCAAGGAGACACAGCCACACAGGGTTATAGAAGCGACCCTTCGGGAAGATGAAGGCCAGAGAGGAAGCTAGTGTACAGAGACAGAAAGAGGACCAGGCCCAAAGCCAGGCCTAGGGGACACAGGAAGGCACAAGGCAGTCAGGGGTCCCAGGAACAGGGCTTGGGCACCAATGGTCTTTGAGAAGGGGACAGGGCTGTGGGGGTCTGGCACAGTGACTGGGCATACGATGTGATTGTTCCCAAGATTGGGGTGCAGGGAGGAGCCTCTGAGTGGGATTAGATGCTAAATTCAGTATGGGGTGTTTCCACACTGGAGGACCCACTAAGACCCTGGGTCCTTGATTATGAAGTGTGCTGAGGACCATGATCCCTTTGAGAGCCCAGGGTTCAAGGATGGCGGCACTGAAGTGACAGCTGAGGTCTTGTCCTTTGGCATTTTATTTTAAAATTGCAGCAAGGAGAGAGAAAAAAAGTTAAGGTCCGCACCGGGGGTCCGGCATGAGAACGGAGATAAGGGGTGGGGGCCAAAGTGTGCCCTTGCTTGACCCCCACGACACTGAGCAGCAGGGGGGATCTGAGCCCTGAGGTTGGGGTCCAAAATGCCCGGTTCCACCCTTAAGGCTTTGGAGTGCAGCGACCACGAGGGGGCGCCAGAGTCCCAGGTGTCTGGCCCGGCCTTTTCTTATTGCACTTCACGTGAGTCTCTGGAAGGGAGGCGAGGGTTGGTTGATTCGAGGGGTGAGGTCACAGCCCTCAGTGTCACACCGGAAACATCCACTCGTGGGTGCTGGTTCCATACTGTGGGACAATAGAGGCGCAGCATTGAGAAGCGTACTACAACTCCCAACAGGCCCTGGGGCATCGCAAGCGACTGGCTCACAGAGGTGTACTCCAGTGCCTCATGGGACATGTAGTCCACACCCGAGGCCAGCCAACAATTCGGGGTGCAAATCAAGACAGTGGCATAGGGGATTAAGACAGATGAAGTTCGGAAGAGAGGACACTGAAAGGTCTTCGAAGAAGGCGTTTTTAGCTTGGATATGGAGTGCTAGGAAACCCAGTCATCTCTGGTCCAGCTCACTGGGAAATGGGCCCAGAGGTTCTCTGGAAAGTCCTCTTGGCTCCCAAGAATGGGAATGCTCCAGAGGCTTGCTGAAGGAAGCCTTCCAGACCAGGGAGAGGAAAGAGGAAGACTTATCATGCCAAAGAGTCAGCCCAGGACCCCAGGGAGTCGTGCGAGGCATTATGTGGTCAAGGCTCATGGGAAGGGGCCCAAGACTCATGGAGCACAGGAAAGGGGAAGTGCTTCTGGCCACAGAGATGAATGGGAAGGCCCCATCACCTGCACAGGTGCAGCTCACCTGGATGGCCTTCAGTTCCTTCTGGAAGCGGAGGATGAGCTCGGGCCCGCTGTCCATGGTGGGAACGTGGAGTTGCTGGGGAGAAAGAGCCATGAGGATGGGACGTTTCCCCTCCTCTCCAGCCCATCATGGCAGTTCCGCCTCACCTGGCCTTCATACAGGATTCGATGCACCGGGCAGACCTGACAAGCTGTGCCTGAGCCAAAGACTTCTCGCACCCGGCCCTCCTTCAGTGCCCGCTGTAGTTCCTTCATGGTGATCTTACGCTCCACCACCCGGAACTCACCCTGTAGGGGAAAGGGCAGTCACTCTGGTCCCCTGCTAACCACCTCTCCCTCCCTAAAGGCTGCTGGGAAAGACAGACCCAGAGAAGGGAGGGTGTGCCAATGGACTCCCAGCTCCCACCACAGCCCCCAGGTCCTCTGGTCCCAGGAAGCAGGTGCCCCACAGGCCCTACCCAGGTCCTAGCCAGGTCCAGCAGGCTCTGTCGCACTACTCCAGGTAGGATGATACCATCCAGTGGGGGCGTCACCAGCTCCAGTACTAGATCAGGGGTGACAGACAGGTGTGACTGCCTCACACCTCTGGGTGCTCTCCTTTCTTTTCCTGCCCAGGGCCCCTGAACCCTGCAAGCCACCCCACCCCCACCCCCACTGGGTTGGTCATAGGCTCACCCCCATCCTCATGAGTCCAGTAGATGAAGATGTTCATGGTGCCCACTTCGGTGAGCTGGTGGTCTGGCCCATACAGCCAGAGGACCTGCTCACAGCCCTTCTTCTGAGCCTCTTGCTGCACTACCACGGTGGGCCCGTAATTCCTGGTGGAGGGCACTCTGGTCAGACTGGGCAAAGCACCCACCCACGCTCCCCACAACACAGCCCAGGAAGTCTTTTTATAGCAGGGTTGAGTCCCTTCCTTGGCTCACAGCCCTCCTGTGGCTCCCCACTACCCCAGGAGAGAATCACTAGGCTAACAGTTGGGGCCCTGGTTGGGTGGTGTGTTCCCTTTCCTTTCTGATGATCCCTCCTCCCTCCACCTTCTGAGTATTGAGATTACATGCATGTGTACATGCTTGTTTGTTATTGCTGTTTTGAGACAGGGTCTCCCTGTAGCCAGCTGGCCTGTAACTCACTATGTAGACCAGAATGGGCTTGAACTCACAGAGATCCACCTGCCCCTGTGTCCTGAGAGCTGGGATTAAAGGTGTAGCCCACCATGCCCAGCCTTTGTTTGTGGCTTTTTGGTTTTTTTGTTTGTTTGTTTGTTTTTTTAAGATGGTCTCATGCCATGTAGCCATGGCTAACCTCAAACTCAATTTGTAGCTGAGGCTGGCCTTGAATTCCTGACCCTCCAAAGTGCTGGGATGACAGGTGTACACCACCACACCAGTCTTTACGTTGTTTTAACTTGCAGTGTGTTCCCCACAGCAGACCTCACCTCTCACTCACCCCTAAGTCTGCCAAGGCTCCCTGTTGCCCCAGGACAGGATCCCAGCCTATGAATGGTATTCTGAGCCTTGTGCAAAAACTGGTCTTGTTTGTCTTTCCTGTGCCAACTGTGATCCTATCTCACCAACCCAAACATCTGGGCCCAAGATTAGAAAATATCAGCCGCCTTTTTTTCTTTTGATAATGGGGTTTGAACCCAGGACCCCACACATTAGGCAGGGGCTCTACCACTAAGCCATGCCTCCAGCCCCTCACTAGGGGATTCTGGGTAGGTGCTCTACCACTGAGCCATGCCTCCAGCCCCTCACTGGGGGATTCTGGGTAGGTGCTCTACCACTAAGCCATGCCTCCAGCCCCTCACTGGGGGATTCTGGGTAGGTGCTCTACCACCAAGTCACATCCCCAGCCCCTCACTGGGGAATTCTAAGCAAGTGTTCTACCTCTGAGCCACACCCTCAGCTCTGTTTTTGGCTGGTTGGTTGGTTGGGGTTGTATTTGGGGGGGGTCCTCCCTAAAGCCCCAGCAGGCCTAGAACACACTGTGTAGACCAGGCTGGCCTTGATCTCAGAGAGATCCACGTGCCTCTGCCACCAAGTACTGGGATTAAAGGCCTGTGCCAGCGTGCCTGGCATTTCTGTTTTATTTTGAGACAGGAATGAGTTACGTTGCCCAGGCTGGCTGCAGATTGCAGTCCTACCTCAGCCCATTGAGTAGCGGTGACTGTGGCTGTACTCCACCAGGGCTGCACTCATCTCATCCAGGGATGCTCAAAACCTGGCTGCACTTACTACCTTTGAGGCCAAGAAACCACAGGTGAAGTGTCACCTCTTCTGTGGCACTTTCACAATGCCCTGTTAATCCTCCATCAGAGCTCATGCAGATCTAGATACTGGGGCACCCATCAGCCCAGGAGCCCCAGGGCAACAGGCTGGCTCAGCTTCACCTGTGTCCCCAGCTCTAGCCAACACAGAGCCTTACACCCGTGACATGTCACAAACTTAAAGGGCCTCTAGGGCTACACTTTATTGTTCCAACATGCCAGTAGCCTATACCTGCCCTAATCTTCCATGAGATGCAGCCACCTCCCTACAAGACACGGAGCCAAAGCCTTCAAGGACGTAGGATGGCAGAGTCCACGGTGCAGGAGAGGGGACTGAAACCCAAGTAATGGTGGGAGCCAGAGACACAGCCTGGCCCAGGTGACCAGCGAAGGGACCAGAGAGTAAGGGTAACTTGCTTTCCTGAGGGGGCTCAGGCCTGGTCACCCCACTGACTTCCACCCTACCCATCTCTGAGCTCATTCATTTACCTATACGTAAAAACACCCATCTGACCTCCACCTTTGGTGTCAGGCACCAGGGAGGACAAAAGACACAGAGCAAGGCCAGAGTCCACCCTCAGAGCCAGTAAGAATGGCTTCACACCCTGAACCAGTCACAGCTGGTCACAGCTGGTCTAGCCATGAAGCTCAGCAAGCACCACCTCCAGTGCATGGACACTTCCTGGTGTGGGTGCTACTTACCCCCCCAATTTGTAGTTGCCGACCCCACCCACCCAGGCTCGGATGAATGTGGGGTCAGCCAGGAGGGAGACAGGGGTCATGGAATCTCCAGGGAAGTAGGAGCCCACAGGACAGAGAATGACGTACAGGAGGGCTCGTGTGACCACACCGACACCCAACGAGGGCTGTGGATGGTCAAAAGAACAGTATCAGACCAGGGGTCCACACCCAGGCTTTTCCCTCAGACACAGAAGTCCAAACTCCACCTCCTCCCTCAGACCCAGGACCCTCAGATCCAGGGATGCTCAAAACTGGGGTCCACCCTCAGCCTCCCCTCTCAGGCACAGAATTCCACATCCCAGTCTTCCCTGAGACCCAGGGGCCCATATCACAACCTCTTCCCTCAGATACAGGAGTCCACACCCCAGCGTCCTCTCTCAGAGCCAGAAGTCCAGACCCTAGCTTCCTCCCTCAGGCCCAGGAGTCCAGACCCCAGGCTTCTCTCTCAGACCTAGGGGGTCCAAGCTTACCCTTTCTGTTCCCCTGACCCCAGTGTGCAGGTCCCCAGGCTGGCTGTGCCCACCTCATTCCCAATAAGCACAGGCCGCACGTAGAGGCTTGTTCCGGCACCATTAGGTACCCAGTCCTTGTCCAGTTCAATGAGCCGGCGGATGCACTCCAGCAACTCAAGCTTGTCGAAGGCCTGGGTGGGATCCCACAAGAGTCAGGGACCCTGGATTCCCTCCTCCACCCTTTCCCCTTTCCCTCTCCTCCCAGGCCAGACTGGCCACTCACTGGCAAGCAGAGGCGCCCTGCAGAACGCAGCATCCGGTCCATGTTGAGCCAGGGTCGGAAGAGTCGTACCTGCTGGTCCTGGCCTTTGTACGCCTTCAAGCCCTCGAAGAGCTGCAGGGACAAGCAGTGGAGAGGTGCTCAGGGCTCAGACCCACATTATGAAGATGGAGATACCAGGTGAGAGACTGATACACTAAGAGACAGATACACATGGACAGAGGGGCAAAGTGACAGGCAGCCCGAGAGGGAGAGAGACATGGAGATGCTAAAGCACAGGACAAGGCAGGCACTGTAGCTCAAGCCTGTCACCCCAACTTCTAAGGAGACTAAGGCAGTAAGATCACTCCCAGTTCAAGGCCAGCTTGAAGCAAGTCTGGGCTACATGGTAAGAACATGTCTGAAAAACAAAAACGCTCACGTAACATACAAAGATATACAAAGCACTCCAGATGGAGGTGGAGTTTGTTCTGTTTATTTATTTCTGTTCATTTTATGTGCCTGCATGTATGTTAAGTGTACCATGCATGTGCAAACCTACGGAGGCCAGAAGAGGCCAAGATCCTTGGGAACCGTAGTTTTGAGAGTTGTTAGCTGCCATGTGGGTGCTGGGAACCAAACCTGGGTCCTGGAACAACAGCCAATGCTCTTAACTGCTGAGTCATCTCTCCAGTCCCCAGATGGGATTTTTAAAATCCACCCTAGTATAAAACTCAGCGTGAAAAATGGAGAGTTTTCAGAAGAGGAAATATCACTGTGTCATAAGCATGTCACATGGCCAATATCATTTGTAATTAGGGGGAAAATGAAAATTAAAAATCACATTAAGGGGTCTGAAGAGATATCTCAGTCAGTAAAATGTTTGCCACACAAGTACCAGGACCTGAGTTTGAATTCCAAGCACTCACATAAAAAGTCAGGTACCAGAGCACATGCCTGTAATCCCAGTGCAGAAGGTCCCTGTGGCTTGCTGGCCACTGAGCCTAGCTGAATCCAAGTGTTCCAAGTAATGACAACCCCACCTCAGAAAACAAGCTGGAGCTGGGCGTGGTGGTGGTGCATGCCTTTAATTCAGGCAGAGGCAGGTGGATCTCTCAGAGATCGATGCCAGCCTGGTCTACATAGTGAGTTCCAGGCCAGCTGCAGGAAGACTTGGGCTGTCTCAAAAAGACCAAAAATTTTTTTTTTAATTAAAAAAAAATAAGCTGGAAGGGCTAAAGAAACAAGAGGACCTCAGTGTAGTTCCCAGCACCCACATGGCTGCTAACAATCCTGTGTCACTCCAGCTTCAGGGGCTCTAACACCCTCTTTTGGCCTCCACCAGCATTGCATACACACAGTATGCATACAAACATTCATACATGAAATTAAAAAAAAAAATGGAGTGCAATCACGATACACACTAGATTCTGACCTCTGACCTCCACACACAGGCACACATATGCACACACACAGACAAGAAAAACATCACTTTAAGAACATTTAAAAGCACTTTGGTGACTGGGAAAGTTTCTCACAGTCTGACAGTGCTTGTCCGAGGTTTGGGGAAACAGGCCTGGGCAGTGAGGGTGGATTCTAATAAACCTTCAAAGAGATTAATGTGGTAATACCTTTCAAAATGACAGGCACACCCGCCCTTAGAGCCACTATTTCTAGAAACTGGGCAGAGAGGTACGCTTGCAGGTAACAGTTAAAGGAAGTGATGGAGGTGCCTGGTCCTTATTGCAACATTCTTTATAATAGACCAAGGCTGGAAAGAACCCAAGTTTCCAACAACAGAGCATTGCCTAATGAGATGTACTGTTAAGATGGAATATTATGCTGCTGTAACAAAGATGGGCAAAACTCCTTAAGGAGTATTAAAGGAAAATTGGGTCCCTGGCTGCCCTGAAACTCAGTATGTAGACCAGGTTGGCCTGTCCTCTAACTCACAGAGTTCCATCTGTCTCTGCCTCTCCAATGCTGGGATTAAAGGCACAAGAGCATGTGCTACCACCGAGACTGCCCTTCTTTCAAGTAGCCTCAGCTACTTGAGCAATGAGTTCCAACCAAGCCAAGGTCTATCTACTGGGGAAACTGAGTGTTGGGCCCAGGACACAGAAGATCTCAGGACAAGGTGACAGACCCACAAAAGAAGAAACATGCAAAGGGCCTGAGGGGTAGACCCGGCCAGGGCCAGGGCCAGAAGCCACTAGTCCCACCTGCAGAGAATAGTGCAGGGCGGAGCAGGCTGGGTGCAGCATGAGGTTCTGGAAGGGCTGGATCCTTGGAGGGCCCCAACCTGTCTTCCCGCTCCACTCCACCATTAGCATGTGGTCTGTGAATGTCTTCCCGAACAGCAGCGGCTCACTGGGGGCAGGCTTCTTCTGCGGATCCTGAGTCACCTGAACCTGCAGGTCTGCAGCCTGAGAAAAAGGGCATTCAGGGTACCTGGACTCCAGACTGTCTCCAACTTGAGAGATTACAGCTCCCAGGAGCCCCAAGCCTCAGACCCAGGTACCCAAGAGCCCTCTGGGAAATACAGTGTCATCTTTTCATACTGCCTAATGACAGGAGAGCTGCAGACTCCTGAAAGATGCCCAAATACAGATGAGACTCTCAGACCCAGGTATAGACCCCAGCCTCCTCCCTCAGACACAGGGGTGTAGACCCCAGCCTCCTCCCTCAGACACAGGGGTGTAGACCCCAGCCTCCTCCCTCAGGCACAGGGGTGTAGACCTCAGCCTCTTCCCTCAGACCCAGGGATACAAACCCCAGCCTCCTCCCTCAGACTCATGAGTGCAGAACCCAGCCTCCTCCCTTAGACACAGGGGTGTAGACCCCAGCCTTTTCCCTCAGACCCAGGGGTACAGACCCCAGCATCCTCCCTCAGACACAGGGCTTCCTTTCACCTTGAAGTTGGAGGATACACATCTTCTCCCACACAGAAGCCAGGGAACAGGGAGAAGTTTTCGGACCCAGACCTGGGGAGGGAAGAAAAATTAAAAAGATGACAGGGCAGGATCCAGAAAGAACAGACCTGGCATCTGTCTGTCATCTCTTGCTTGGGAATCCCAGAGGCCAGCTCTGTCATAGTCTCAGTGCATTTGAGGCACAGCCTGTATTTCTACCAAGTCCCCACCAGGAGGGTTAGCCCTAGAAAGAGCAGTGTCAGCTCCGGCCCCTCCACCATGTGGGCAAAGTCGACGGAGCCCCTCCTACTAGAGGACTTTGGTCCCAGCTTGAGACCAGCTCAGACAAGAGGACGGCCAGGGACAGTAAGCAGGTAAGGAGAAGACACCTGTGTGGGGAGCAATACCTGACAAGAGAAGAGAAAGGGTCATTCTTATCCTAGAACCCAGCAATCTAGGACCCAGCCTCCTCCCCTCGGACCCAGGAATCCTTCCTAGTCCTCCTCCCTTAGACACAGAGATCTAAACCCTAGCCTTCCTCCTTCAGACGCAGAGATCCAGGCCCTACCCTTCCCCAAGCCCTCCTCGCTCAGACCCAGGGGTCCAGGCCCTACTTCTTTCCTCAGACCCAAGGGTCTAGACCCCAGGCCCCCCCCCTCAGACCCAGGGGTCCTAATGCTTACTCTTTGGGAACTGTCAGCTGATTAGCATTACTGCAGTCCCAGCCTGCAGCTAGGATACACGCACACTGGACAGTGGCTGCAGTACTCCTTGCTGTCAGGGACTAAGGGGCTGCCAGGTGCCAGTCAGAGACGGTGCTCGATACACAAGTCCCTTTTGCCCTCTTCAAGGCTAGCGTGGAACACAGGTCTGGCTGTGTCCAGAAGGGTAGCCATGCTGGTGACCTTTAACCTCACCATGTTTCTCTCTGCAGCCCCACCAGAGGGCAACTGGACCCTCAGTTTGAAGGGAGACAGGGCAGGTGAGCCTGCTCCTGCTGGGAGAGCCAACAGTGCCCAGTGAGATGGGTGAAGCAGAGGTTGTTGGTCAGCAGGTAAGTCTCAGAGACATGGGGTCCAACGCTGCCATGTGAACAAGTCAGGCCAAGAAGCCACAGATGTTTTTGTGTGGTTTTCTATTTTTCTTTTAGGGTTTGTGTTATTTGGTTTGGCTGGGGGTTTGTTGTTTTTAGACAGGGTCTCACTAAGTTGCCCAGGCTGGTCACACAAACTTACTCCTAGCAGGGGTTGAAGTTGCAATCCTCCTGCCTCAGCCTCTGGCGAAACTGGGATGACAGGCATGCGTGGTACCATACCTGGCTCAGATATGACCTTTGTGTGTGTGGGAGCATGTGTGTAAGGGTGCAGGTGCAGGCTAGAGGACAACTTCAGGTGATATCCTCACATGCCATCTACCTTGTTCTTTGAGACGGGGTCTCTTGTTGGGTCTAGAGCTTGTTCATTTGCTTAGGCTGGCCAAGGAGCCCTAGGGATTCCCCTTTCTCCACTTCCCCAACAGTGGGGTTGTAAGAGTGAGCTGCCACACCTGGTTTTTTCTTACCTGGGTTCTGGGGATCAAACTCAGGTCTTCATGCTTACAAACTGAGTCACCCCCAACCCCCCAACCCCCCTCAGATCTGGTCTTGAAGGTGTAGTGCCTTAGGGTGATCTGAGAGTGACAGCCTCTCCCATGTCTCTGGGTGGTGACAGGGAGCATGCCTGACCCTGCAGCCCTGCCTCTGTTCAGTTTAGGACAGACACTCCCAATATGGGGAGAAGACAGCATGGGGGCATGAGAGCAAAAGGAGCCAGGGTAGCTAACAATGCAGAAAAGAGACACTGAGATGAATCAAAGGACGGGGCTGGAAGTGTTCTCAGTTGGCAGAATGATTGCCTAACATGCAGGAGGTCTAGGGTTTGCTCCCCAGCCCTGCACAAACCCTGGCACTTAGGAGGCAAGAGGATCAAGAGGCCAAGGTTATCCTTGACAGTGTAGCAAGTTTGAGGCCAGACCAGGCTACATAAGACCAAAATAGGCCAGGCCAGCAGGCAGGCACAGTGGGCCTTTAATCCTCAGGAGGCAGAGGCAGGTGGAGCTCTATGAGTTCAAGGCCAGCCTGGTCTAGATAGTGAGTTCCAAGTCAGCTGGGGCTATAGAGAGACCCTGTCTCAAAAAGACCAGAAAGAAAAAAAAAAGACCAAAATAGATCAGAGAAAGAGAGTCCAGGTGTGGTGGTGCACACCTTTAATTCCAGTACTAAGGAGGTGGAGGCAGGCAGATCTCTGTGAGTTTGAGGCCAGCCTGGTTCACATAGTGAGTTCCAGTGAGGCCAGCCAGGGCTATATAGTGAGTCCCCAGCTCAAAACAGCAGAAAGAGATTGGGGGGTTGGGGTGGGGTAAGATGGTTCTGTGAGTAAAGGAGTTTGCTGCCAAGCCTGAGGACCTGAGTTCAATCCCAGAACCTACAAGGTAGGAGAGAACCAACTCTAGAAAGTTGTCCTCTTACCTCCACACATACAGATGACATACCTGTGTCTCCACACATATGCAAGCATGTACACACACACATAATGAGAGACTGGGAGTGGGGGAAGGGGTTTGAAAGATTCCAGCAAAGAAATTAAGTCTAAACCAGATGTGTGGTTGCACACCTGTGACCCTAGGTGTGGGGCTGCAGAGGCTGAGAGGCAGGAGGATTGCAAGTTCAATATTAGCGTGGGCTAGAGAGATAACAGGGGAAAGAGGTAAAGAACACCGCACAACCTCTAGGTACAGAGAAGGCACTGAGCCCTGTGTAAGTCTGAACTGGCCACAGAGCTTTAGTGACAACGGCAAGTCTCTAAGGCCAGTGGTCTGTTCCTGGTTAAGGAAAGCCCCCCCACATCCCACAATATGGGGCCCAGATGGCAAGTGGACTACTGGATAAGGTATAAAAGGATTGATGCACCAGGCATGGTGGTGGATGCCTTTAATCTCAGCACTTGGGAGGCAGAGGCAGGTGGATCTCTGTGAGTTCAAGGCCAGCCTGGTCTACATAGCACGTTCTGGACCAGCTGGGACTACAGAGAGACCCTGTCTCAAAAAAAAAAAAAAAAAAGAGCAATTGAAGCTGAGTTAGGGAATGAAGGGGAAGTGTGCAGGGCAGGGTTCTGTAACATGATAGGGCAGGGTTCTGTAACATGATGGAGTTTCCTTCATGTCCCAGACAGGTGTCCATCAAAGATCAGCAGTACCATTGCCAAAGCCTAGTACCAACACCATCCCCCCATCACACCTCAAGGGAGTCCTCATCATAGCACAGTGCTGTGCTCCTCTCAGACAACTGTCTGTATATCACCCTATCGCATCAAATTCCAGAACTGTTCCTCTCATACCCCTAAGCTGTCCCAATCACAGCCCAGACTTGACTTCCATCACAATTGTCCCTTTGTGGCCCAGAACTCTCTCCACCAGATTTGTGGAAGCCCAGAACTCTCTGTATTACAATCTCAATTGCCCCTGTCGCCTCCAGGACTGTCCACTGCAGAGCCAGGTGCTTTCTCAACACAGCTCAGGACCCTTCCCCTCCTCAATTCCAAAGCCAGCATATCCACCCTCTACAGCCTAGGACTGTTCCTGGCAAGTCTCAAGGCTGTCTCTTTCAGACCCAAGAACTATCCTAACGTCAGTCTAGGCTAGCCCCTGAAAGACTGTCTTCCTCAGAACCCAGAGCCAGCTCATTTGAGTTGGGAACTGTCCTAGAATGGCCGAGGACCCTATACCATCCAAGACCACCACATTTCAGGTGTGTCACCATCACAGCCTAGATTACCCCTGTCCTATCCCAAGACTGTCCCACAATATCTGCCCAGGACATTCGGTAAGTCACTAAGACTGGGGAGACTTAAAGGTCTGCTCTAGAATTCGGCCAGCTTGGGCTAAAAGCTGCAGGTAAAGTCAGGTGCAAGCTAACAGCAAACATTCCTCCCAAGGTTGGGGCCCAGGTGTTTCCTTCCTGGCTTATAAATCCTGTTCTCTAGAATCACAGATTCTCCAAAACTTTGCTGTTGAACGTCAGATCGGTAAGCACCCACGGTCCCACTCCTGCCAGGAGGACCTGTATCATTCTGACAAACAGAAGCTTGCCTGGAATTACAAAACCAGGTGCAGGGCTTCAAACACACACTGCACATGCCTTTATCTGCTTTTATGTCCAAGAAATAAGTTCTTGGGTTCAATTCCCAAGGACTCTCTGTGCCATGTCCTACCCCAAGCCTCAGTCGTCCTGGCACCATGTCCCATGCACCCTAAAGCCGGCAGGCTACAAGCCCCAGCCACAACCTTCCTGCACCCACCCCCACTCTGTGCTTCTCCCATTACAACCCCTCCTCCATGCTCCCCACTTCCGACTTCCCCGTCCAGGACCCGCTATCCACCAGCTACCCCGCACCCCGCACCCCATCGGTGTCTGCCCATTCTCCCGCCCGTTAAAGCCTGGAATTCCTTTCCAAGCGCCCCGCTCCATCTTCCTCTGCGCTCCGCAGCGGAACCCGAGGCACAGAGAAAGGGCACCAAGCCGGAGGGCTGCGAGCCGGAGGTCCCCCGGAAGTGCGCCCCCTCCGGGGTTCCCCAGGCCTCCCCGACGCGGGCCCGCCACGCACCCACCTGCCTCAGTGCGGCTGCGGCCATGATCCGTGCGGCGGGTAACTGTGCTCGCCTAGGGCGCGGCCGGGAGAAAGACGTTCCGGCCCCGCCCTGCGCACGCCCCCTCCCGCAGATGGCTGGCCCTATGGGGGCCTCACGGCGGCCAGGCCTTTCCCAGTTATAGCACCCCGGGGACGTAGCTATGCCTCAGAGAACATGCGCTGGAAGTGTCCAGAACTGAAACACACCCCTGCCTTCTGGCTTCCACCCTCCCCTGTCCCAGCCACAATCACACCCCACAAGGCATTCCTGTTGGCTTTTGTTTTGTTTTTGTAGTATTGGAGGTTGAACCCAGAACCCTGTTCATGTCAGGGAAGCGCTCTAACCACTGACAATATAGGCCCCAGCCCTTCTCAGATTGTCATTTTGTGAAACAAGGGCTCCCTAAATTGCGGAGGATGTCCTCTAACTTGCAGTCCTCCTGCCTCAGCCTCCAGAATAGTTTGAATGACAGGCCTGTGTCACCACATCACTCACAGTTTTCTTTTTTTAAAAAATTATTTCATGGCTGGGCGTGGTGGCACACGCCTTTAGTCCCAGCACTTGGGAGGCAGAGGCAGACGGATCTCTGTGAGTTCAAGGCCAGCCTGGTCTACATAGTGAGTTCCAGGACAGCTGGGGCTACAGGGAGACCCTGTCTCAAAAAGACCTGGGGGGAAAAAAAAATTATTTCACGTGTATGAGTGTATTGCCTGAATGTAAGTGGACTCGTGTTGTACAATGCACAAAGAGGCCAGAAGAGGGCGCTGGATCCCATGGAACTGGAGTTTCAGATGGTTGTTAGCCTACATGTGGGTCTAGGACTCCAACCTGGATCCTCTGCAAGAGCAGTCAGTGCTCTTAACCACTGGGCCATCTCTCCAGCCCTCGTGATTTTTTTTTTTTTTTTGGTCTTTTTGGGGCAGAGTCTCCCTGTAGCCCCAACTGGCCTGGAACTCTCTATGTAGACCAGGCTGGCCTCAGCCTCACAGAGCTCCACCTGCCTCTGCCTCCCAAGTGGTGGGATTAAAGGTGCTGAGTCACCAGCCTAGCCCCTCGAGTAGTTTGATTTTGGGTTTTTTGGGGTTTGTTTTTTTTTTTGGTCTTTTTGAAACAAGGTCTCCCTGTAGCCCCAGCGGTCCTGGAACTATGTAGTCCAGGCTGGCCTTGAACTCACAGAGATCCACCTACCTCTGCCTCCCAAGTGCTAGGATTAAAGGCATGTGCCACCATACCTGGCTAGTTTTTTTTTTTTAATATATCTTCAGCTGGGCATGGTGGTGCACGCCTTGCAGAGGCAGGTGGATCTCTGTGAGATCAAGGCCAGCTGGGGCTAGAGGGAGACCCTGTCTCCAAAAAAAAAAAAAAGCATCTTCAGGACTGGAGAGATGGCTCAGCCGTTAAAAGCACTGGCTGCTCTTGCAGAGGACCTAGGTTGGATTCCCAGCACCCACTAGGCAGCTAATGGCCATCCAGAACTCCAGTTCCAGGGGATCTGATGCTCTCATCTGACCTCTGCAGGTATTGCACGACATGGGTGCACTTACACATATGTAGGTAATACATTCAAACACATAACATAAAAAAATAAAAATAAAGCATCTTCAGAGTTGGTGGTGGCAAGAGGCAGAATACTCCTTTTATCAGGAATCCTTTGATGTCAGTGTACAGAGAAATGGCACTTTGGAGCAGGACACAGTGGCACCTGTCTGTCATCGCAGCACTCTGGATGCTGAGGCAAGAGATCTGATGTAAGTTTGAGGGCAGCCTGAGTTACAGATGTGAGACAGACTCTGGAAACAAAACAAAAATAAGACAGGAAAGGGGTGAGGGATGGATGTAGGACACACAAGGAGATAACATGCCTTCTTTGTTACTCTGAGATAACAGCAAACAGTTCACCCTGTCCCCTTCCACTCTTCTTACTCAATAGTAAGCCCAGGAAATTTGCACACACCCACTCATCAGGAGCCTCAAGTCAGTGCAGCCTAGTTGTGCCAGTCACATCCCTCCATCCACAGCACCTAGCTAATTCCAGTCTATCAGAATCCTTCTGTCAGCACAACTGATTGAGACAGGGCCGGTATCACTCTGCACTCTAGGCTAGCCTGGAATTCATTATGAAGCCCAATGTGACTTCAAACTCTTAACCCTCCTGCCTCTTCCTCCAAAATAGAGGGTCACCTGGCCCAGCTGCACCCTACAATCCAAACCTGTGGCAGTGACCTCCCACATTGAACCCCCTGGTAATTATTCTCCAAGGCTTTTCATGATCGTTTGTGTGCTGGATAGCTTTAGTGTCAACTTGACACACCTGGGTTAAGGGAGCCTCAATTGGGGAATTGCCTCCATAGGACTGGCCTGTGGCCATGTCTGTGGGGCATCTTCTTGATTGTGGAGTGATGTGGAGGGCCCAGCCCACTGTGGGTGGTGCCACCCCTGGGCAGGTGGGCTTATGTTGCATAAGAAAGCTGGCTGAGCAGGAGCCAGGGAAGCAAGTCAGTAAGCAGTGATCCTTCAGGGCCTGTGTTCCAGCTCCTGCCTCCAAGTTCCTGCCCTGAGTTTCTACCTTGGGATCCCTGATGAACTGTGACCCAGGAGATGTAAGACAAACCTTTTCCTCCCCAAGTTGGTATTGGTCAACGTGTTTTGTCACAGCAATGGAGAATCAAACTAGAACAGTTACCAAAATTACACCTCTGCTCTGTGCTCAGACCCAGTCCCTAGGCCTGGGTCCACCCAATTCTGGGGCACATTCTCCCAAACGCTACACTCTCAAGTGCTCACCAACCCCAACCCTGAGTCACTGTCCCCTCCTCCCTCAGACTGCTCCAGACCACGGTAGCCAAACCACAAACCCTCCCCCGAAGACCAGGCCACTTTCTCTCCAACTCCTACCCCTCCTCCTCCCTCCCCACCCCCGCCAGGCTTCAGGGGCCGAATCCACAGGCAGCAACCGCCCCCGCATCGGCCAATCAGCGATTGCCGCACACCCGCGATTTAGCCAATCCACATCAGCTTTGCAGTTCCACCCCCTCACCTGGGGGGCTGGGGCTGCAAGTCTGCGCCCTGCGCCCCACCTCGGGGGTATGTGGAGCCTGGCGCCTGTGTCCTCCCCGCAACACAGCAAAGCCTCAGCCCTCCTCCCTCTGACCCACATGGCTCAACACCCGGCTGCATCTGTACACCTCTCTACTCTGCTGGCAAAGAGCGCCAACTTCATTCCCCTAAGGACCCAGAATAAAGGTAGACTTTTGTGTACCTTCTACATTATCTCGCAATTACCGCTTAATGTATTCTCCCCGGCGGGCCTTTTTTAATTAGCGCCTAGGTGAAGCGGAACTGCGCTCCCTGGCGACCGGAGTTAGCAACTTGGGCAACCCCTGCAAGGTCTCCAGGGAGTTGTTCAGAACGACACGTGGCTGCAGGAGGGAAGCAACGCTGGTGTAAACAGACTTGTATAAAGAACAGGAAATAAATATGACGTTGCCTTTCTGGGTGCAAGTTGCTTTTATGGGCTCAGGATGAATGATGTATTATGAAGTGAAGCGAGAGGCTTGGGGGCTGGGGCTGAACCAGGGAGGTGGAAAGTACGGGTTGGAGATGGGAGTGGGAAGTGCTACCTAGGGAGGAGGCCCAACTTGTAGCTCAGTGGTAGAGCACCTGCTTAGACTCCCCAGAGAGGAGCTGGGGGTATGACTCAGTGGTAGAGCCCCTGCCCAGAATCCACCGGGGGGGGGGGGTTAGCTTTGTGGAAATTGGGGAATTCAGGGAAGGAGAGTGGAGACTTCCACAGGAGTGCCGGGACTAGCCTTTCGACCATACCCCAGCTCTGCACCTCCTGTCATAAGAAGCTCAAGGCCTGTACAGAAGGTGGCATCTGAGGCCAGGAACACGGCTGCTGCCCCCACCTCGGCTGGCTGGCCCATGCGGCCCAAGGGCTGGGGAGAGAAAGGAGAAAAAAGATCAAGAAGAGCTCCCTCACTCAGCCAGGCATGGTGGCTCATACCTGTCATCCCAGTGGGCAAGAGGCCTAGGTAGGAGTTTGCCTTAACTTGAAAGTCAGCCTGGTCTAGAGATACCATGGATTACATGAGGAGGGAGGGAAGAAGGGAGGGAGAGAGACCTAATGAACACCCCCCTCACACACACCCTCAATTGCCTCCATTCCTCCTATCCCTGACCCTTCCTACCTGGGCTAAGGTGCCTTCCAGGATGGTTGCTCTGGGATCTGGTGTTGAGGCCGCCAGCTCTTCCCACAATGGGGTCCAAATGTTTCCTGGGGAGATGCTAGGCAGAGAGAGAAGGCATCAGAAAAGCTTGTGCCTTGGGGTCTATCCTGGCACCTCTCCCAACACCCCTAGCCTCTCAGCTCACCAGTTGACACGGACACCATATCTGCTCTCGTCCAAGGCCAAAGCTTTGGTCATAGCTGTCACTGCCCCCTGCAGAGGGAGAGCCCAGAGAAGGTGGAGTCTCTGAGGATGGGGATCCTCTCGTCCTCTCCTTCCGGACAACCGGCAGCAAGCTGGAGCATCATTGAAGAATGTCTCCATCATCTTACAGATTTTCCCCCCATGCAGGCTCTGGAAACACTTGTCCAAAGCAATTTGTCATATGGTGCTATGACTCAGGGCTGAACCAGGGAGGTGGTGTGGGACACTCTTGGGCTCTGACACTTGTCATACCACAACAGGATGTTGAGGCAGGAGGATTGCCACAAGTTCTATGACAGCCTGAGCTACAGAGTAAGACCCTGCTGAAAAACAAAAAACAGGCTGGGTGTGGTGGCACATGCCAAGAGTCCCAACACTTGGGAGCAGAGGCAGGCAGATCTCTCTGAGTTCAAGGCTAGCCTGGTCTACATAGTGAGTTCCAGGCTAGCTGGAGCTACAGGGAGACCCTGTTACAAAAAGACCAAAAGAAAAAAAAAAAAAACAACACCAGGGCTGGAGAGATGGTTCAGCAGGTAAGACACTAGCTGCTCTTGCAGAGGACCTGGGTTTGAGTCTCAGCACCCACATGGTGGCTTACAGCCATCTGTAACTCAAGTTCCAGGGGATCTTCTGACATCCTCAGGCATTGCATAGCACAGGTGCACTTACATACATGCAGGCAACGTACTCATAAGCATAAAATAAAAATAATAAAATATTAAAATAAACACAAAACAAAAAACAAGAAAGAATCAGCAAGATCGTTCAGCAAGTAAAGGCACTTGCTGCCAAAACTGATGATCTGAGTTCAATCCCTAGGCCCCACATAGTGGAAGGAGAGAATAGACTCCTACAAGTTGTCCTCTGGCCTCCACACATGTACCACGACATGCAATCCACACACATACAATAAATTAATCAAAATAATAAAAAAGGAAAACTAAGAGGATAAGACCCTATTGCTGAAACATAACACAGGTTGATTGCAGGACACAGAGATATCAAGCTGCAATTGACCTGAAAATGCCCTCCCACTGACTAGCTTTCCTAGTGCCGGAAGGAGATATGCAGGTCACTGGGGGAGAAAAGTCATTAATAGACTTACGCATTAGACTGTGCGTGCTACAAAATCAACCTACCAGACAGGCAGACAGGGTGTGCCCACTGGTGCACTGTTAAGGGGGTAGCCAAAGGCTCTCTCTGATCTGCTTTGAGGACTGCTCCACGTGAAGGAATTCATGCCTCATACTATAAACCTGGTCAAAAGCCCATGGCTGAGGAGATCATAGGCCCTAGGAGGAAACCAACTATTGTTTTGCTAAGTGGACATGTTATCAAACTGCTTTCTAAATATTTATGTTCACCATAAATTTGTACTTAACCTTAGTCAGAGAATCTTCCTTTTTTTTTTTTTTTTTTTTTCGTTTTTTTGAGACAGGGTCTCCCTGTAGCCCTAGTTGTCCTGGAACTCACTATGTAGACCGGGCTGGCCTTGAACTCACAGAGATCCGCCTGCCTCTGCCTCCCAAGTGCTGGGACTAGCATGCACCACCACGCCCGGCTGAGAATCTTCTTTAAAACAAAAAAATTTAAGGGCTGGGCACGGTGGCGCACACCTTGTAGTCCCAGCTGGGGCTACAGGGAGAGCAGCAAGTGCTCTTAACGGTTGAGCCATCTCTCCTGCAGCAGTTAATGTGGAGACTGATAACTGTTCAAAATGCCGAGAATAAGTGACTGTTGAGTGCTTAGCCCTGAATGGGACACACACACACACAGAGCACACACACACACATACACACACACACACACACACACACACACACAGAGCACAGGAACATCACAGAAGAAGGGGCAGAAAAAACATGTTCAGGGCTGGAGGCTGGGGAGGAGCGTGGGAAGTGCTGGACTTGGCCAACGCACTCACAGACTCCCAACAGCTGGGGTAACCTGCACAGGATCAAGCCAGTCAACACCCAGCGCAGACAGGAGAGAGGCTCACTAGGTCCCCATTCCTAGCTGAGGAGCTTTTGGTATTCGATGGCTGGTGGGCAAGGGTTACTTTTCTTCGAGGGTGTGGCCACCGGTAGGTTGCCCAGGCTCTGGTAGATGCCTGCACCCAGGGACATGCAGAAAATACTGATTGGATCAGTGGGTTATTACCAAAAATAAAAGGGAGAAGAAAAAAAAATACAAAGTGGGAGGAAGATAGGGATGGGGGGTCTTGGGTGTGGGAGAGTGGGGGGAGGGAAGATGGTTATTATCAAAATACATTATATAAATGCACGAAATTGAACAAATAAACATTCTTTTTTAAAAAAAGGGGGAGCTGGAGAGATGGCTCAGCAGTTAAGAACACTTACTGTTCTTGCAGAAGACCCAGGTTCAAATCCCAGCACCCACATGGCAGCTAACAACTGTCCATAACTCCAGTTCCAGGGGATCCCACAGCCTCTTCTGTCCTCCTCGGGCATTACATGACACCAGTGCACTTACCTACATGCAGGCAATACACGCGTACACATAAAATAAAAATAATAAATAAAATATATATTTTTTAAAAAGCCGGGTGTGGTAGCACATGCCTTTAGTCTGCCTTTGGGAGGCAGAGGCAGGAGGAGGTCTGTGAGTTCAAGGCCAGCCTAGTCTACCTAGTGAGTTCCAGGTCATCTGGGGCTACAGGGAAACTCCGTCTCAAAAAAGACCAAAAATAAATAAATAAACTTTAAAAAAAAGATGTCTAAAAGAAAAAAAGAAAACTCAAAGCTGAGGCCTAAAGAGTCACGAAAGGGTAACGAAGGGACAGGGTCTGGCCCACCTTGGTGGCCACGTAGGGAACTGCCCGAGACTGCCCAATAGCACCAACCAGGCTGGAGATGTTGATGATGTTGCCTCTGTTCTTCCGCAGGTGGGGGAGGGCGAGCTGTAGAGACAGGCAGGTCAACAATCCACACCCTTGCTATGGAGAGTGGCCACCTACACCCTGATGCGCAACAGTGTCTAGTGCCCTGTGTGGTATCAGTGGGTCTCAGTGTGTGTGTGGGGGAAAGCACCTGGAATCCCTGTGGTTTGTCCATGTGTCTCTGGAAGGGACTTCTGTCTTTTTTGTTAGGTCTCTGTCCCTCTCCTTGAGTCTGTCTCTGTCTCTATCTGTTTCTCTCTCTCTCTCTCTCTGTCTCTATCTGTTTCTCTCTCTCTCTCTCTTTCTCTCTCTCTTTCACACACACACACACACACACACACACACACACACACACACACACACACTCTCTCTCTCTGTCTCTAACCCTCTCTCTCTCTCTCTCTCTCTCTCTCTGTGTGTGTCTGTCTCTCTCTCTCTCTCTGTCTGTTCCCTCCCTCCTTCTCCCTCTCCCTCTCCCCCTCCTTGCCCCCCCCCTCTCTACAGGTGTAGCCCCCTGGCCTGGAACTCACTATGTAGACCAGACTGGCCTAGAACTCAGAGATCTGCCTGCCTCTGCCTCCAGAGCCTTTTTCTTTTTAAATTTTATTTTATTATCATGTGTGTGCATGTGTGTACACATGATGTGTCTGTGTGGGTGCATGCGCCATGGCATCAGAGAACAACTTTTAGGAGTTGGTTCTCTCTTTTTACCACATGGGTTCTGGGGATTAAACTCAGTTTTGTCTCTGTCCCCCATTCTCTCTCGGTCTCTGTCTCTCTCCATCTGTGTGTCTCTGCCCCTTGCTCTCTGGATGTCTGTCTGTCTCTCTTTCTTTCTGGGTGTCTGTCTTTCTCATTCTCTCTAAGTATCTCTATCTGTCATTCTCTGTCCCTCTATCTCTGAGTCTCTGGGTCTCTGTTCCTCTCTCTCTCTAGGTATCTGCCCCTCTCTTTCTGGGTCTTTCTCACACACATTTCTCTGGGTCTCTGTCTCTGTCCTCCATTCTCTCTGGGTCTCTGTCTCTCTCCATGTGTGTATCTTTGTCCCTCACTCTAGGTGTCTGTCTGTCTCTCATTCTCTCTCTCTCTCTTTCTCTCTCTCCCTCTCTCATTCTTTTTCCCTGAGTCTCTGATCCCCTGTTCTCTGGGTCTCTCTCTCTCATATATCTCTCTCTCATTCTCTGTCCCTCTACCTCTAGGTCGCTGTTCCTCTCTCTCTGGGTATCTGCCTCCCCCTCGGGTCTCTCCTCTCTCTCTCTCTCTCTCTCTCTCTCTCTCTCTCTCTCTCTGCCTCTATCTCTCTGTGTCTCATTCTCTGTCCCACCTCTCTCTCTTGGTCTGTCTCCCTCCCCCTGTTGGTTTCTGTCCCTCTCTCTCTCTCTCTGTGGATCTGTCCCTCTCTGTGTCTCTGTCTGTCTCCCTGGTCTCTGTCCTCTCTCTCTGTGTCTGTCTCTCTGTCCCCCTCCTCTCTCTGTCCCCCCTCCCTCTCTCTGTCTCTCTCTCTCTCTCTGTCCTCTCCTTTCTCTAAGTTTTCATATGCTACTCAAGGCTACTCCAGCCCTCACCAAACCAGGAAAATACAAGCAGTACTCAGAAGTCTATTCGGCCAAAAGTGAAGGGAATGCTTTTCTCCCTGGAGCGGAGATGGTGTGTCTGAGTTGCACAGCATTCTCTGTGGTCAGACTGCCACATGGGAAGCCTCCTGCAATGCACCCACCAACTTCTCCCCTGCAGCTCCTTAGACCCTCCCCCCAGTGTGTACCCCTTCACTGCACAGGACCTTGGATAAACTCAAATTCTGTCCTTCCTCTGCCTTGCTGTGGGCAGTGTTGCTGAGGACGCACAGTCTGTTCCAGCCACTAAACATTACTGAGCACAAGCCAGCACCCCCAGGAGGCTCCTGGAACAGGAATCTAAATGGTCCCCATCTGTGATTTGCCCCACCACCTCCTCCATCCCCCGTCCCCAAACACACTCTCCCCCTTTTTCCCTGAATTCTCTGTAAATACAGCCTCAGCCTCACAACCTCATGGTCTTTGCTTCTGCTAACCCTTCTGTCTTCACTGCTCCATCCTGAAGTCCTACATCCATGGTCTACCTTTCCAGGGACCTTCCTAGTTTGCCTAGGACTGAGGGATTTCTGGGCACAGTCCAGCGTCATCACATGCCCTCAGGTCCTGTGCAACCACCTCAATAGTGAGACCATCCTGTGTAAAAGGGTACCCTACCCACCTGGGGCCCCACTCCTCTTGAGTCCTTTGGGCCAGGCTCACCCTTCCCCTCCCACATTCTCCCTTATACCCTGGAACGAGCCTCCAGCAGCCTTCCCCACCCCTAATCTTAGTGAACCCATCTTCTCTTTTCTCCCCCCTTCAGAATGGGAGGCTCTGGCAGGCCCTGGAGGGCAGGACCACCCCCATGGCCCCCCTCCTCCCTGCACCAGATGCACAGCTTGGGACTCAATAAAATTTGCCCCACACTCTCTGATCCTTTCCTGGCTGCCCACACAGCCCCTGGCTGGTGTCCCTCCCATATGGCTTCAGGGAGTTGGTGAGGTGCTGGCTTTTACACTCACCTTCCTCCACCTGGAGGCTCTCTGTCTTACTGGTTGGAACTGGGGTCCCCTAAATGTTTGTGTAAGGTGAAGAACACATTTCTGTGCATGTGCATGGGTGAGCACATGCATGTGGAGGCTTAAGGTCTATGTCGGGTGTCTTCCTTGATCACTTCTCCACATTTCTCTATTATTATTATTATTATTATTATTATTATTATTATTAGGTATTTGGTCTTTTTGAGACAGGGTCTCCCTGCAGCCCCAGCTGTCCTGGAACTCACTAGACCAGGCTGGCCTTGAACGCACAGCGATCCACCTGCCTCTGCCTCCCAAGTGCTGGGACTGCAGGCGTGTGCCACCACACCCAGCAATTTTCAATTTTTTAATTAAAAGAATCTTTGGTTTTCTTTTCCCTCCACACACACACACTTATGTGACCCAGAGAGGAGAATTCCAAAGTTGAAGCCAGTCTAGGCAAGACTCTGACCCAAAGAAGGCATTTAGGGACCCTCAAGAGCATTGCTTTGCATAGGGTACACCTATTAATGTTTACTAAATCACACCGTGCGCCACCACGCCCGGCTATTATTTTTATTTTATGTGTATGAGCGTATTGCATGCATGTATGTAAGTGCACCCATGTTGTGCAGTGCCCACAGAGGCCAGGAGAGGGCGTTGAATCTGCTAGAACTGGTGGTATGGATGGTTATTAACTGCCCGTGGGTGCTGGGAATTGAACCCTGGTCCTCTGAAAGAGCAGCCAGTACTGCAACCACTCAAGAGCCATCTCAAGAGCCCCTAATTTTTTTGTCTTTTTGAGACAGGGGTCTCCCTGTAGCCCCAGCTGGCCTTGAACTCACAGAGATCCACCTGCCTCTGCCTCCCCAGTGCTGGGATTAAAGGTGTGCGCCACCTTGCCCAGGCCTTGGTCTCTCCAAAACCTGTCCCCCTCTTGGGTTCACGGCACAGGCTTCAGTTCCTCCTGCTGAGGAGAACCTGACTCTCCTCTCTCTGTCCTTCATTCCCTCCGCATCCTTTTCTGAGCACCTACTATGTGCTCGGACACAGCCAGAGTGGTCTGTAATAGTATTCCTAGGTTCATCATCCTTCCTTGCTCAGATAGTTTCCGTGGCTCCCTACTGCTGATAGAAACAAGATCAAGGGAGATTTCTGTGTGGCTGACTTCTGAGGAGAGGCAGCCGCTGCAGGCTAACCAGTGATATGGAACATTCTAGAATGTGGTTAGGGATAGGAAGAGAACAGAGCAGGAAGATGAGCAGGGGGCGAGTGGTACAATTCTAAACAAGGTTCCAGGAGGTATGGAACAAAGACAGGGGATTGGTATGGGCTGAAGAAATGTCCTGAAGACCACGCCAGGCAGAGGGAACAATAGCATGCGTGCCAAGGCCCTGAGGTAGAACTGAGGCGGGTGATGAGGTCAATGCCAGGAAGGTGAGGTCAAACAAGAGCAGCCCAGTCATGTGAGGCCTTGAAGGTCACCACCGCTCACTTGGACAAGTACAACTGTCTTCTAAACTGGTCCCTCCTCTTCCTGCATACTTTACAATCTGATTTATTCTTTTTTTAATTCCTTTTTAAATTTGTTTATATTTTTATTTTATGTGTATGACTATATGTGTGTAAGTACACCCCTGTTGTGTGATGCCCGTGGAGGTCAGAAGAGGGTGTCGGAGCAGGGCATGATGGTGCACGTCTTTAATCCCAGCACTAGGGAGGCAGAGACAGGCAAATCTTTGTGAGATTGAGGCCAGCCTGATCTACATAGTGAGTTCCAGGCCAGCCGTGGCTACAGAGAGACCCTATCACAAAAGCAAAAAACCAGAAGAGGGTGTCAGAATTCTGGAACTAGAGTTATGGACGGTGGTTAGTTGCCATGTAGGTGCTGGGAACTGAACCTGGGTCCTCTGCAAAAGCAGCCAGTGCTCTTAACCACTGATCTATCTCTCCAGCCCCTGATTTGTTCTTTATACAAGAGCCAAGGTGATATGTTAATAGTATCAAGAGAGACCAATTGTGGTAGTACATTAGGGAGAAAGAGACGGGTGGATCTCTGGGAATTCCAGACCAGCTGGGGACCAGGCTACAGGGACACCTTATCTCAAAAAACCAGATCAAACATGTAAAATGCATCGAGAGCTCCTGAGATAAGACCAGATCACCATGACTTTCAGACAGTGTGGTATGGTCCCACCCAAGCCCTTTCTAAACGGGTCCTTCCCCTCTCTCCCTCCACCCAGCAGCACTCTTTTTTTTTTTTTTTTTTTTGGTCTTTTTGAAACAGGGTCTCCCTGTAGCCCCAGCTGGCCTGGAACTCACTATATAGACCAGGCTGGCCTTGAACTCAGAGACCCACCTGCCTCTGCCTCCCAAGTGCTGGGACTACAGGCGTGTGCCACCATGCTCGGCTTAGGAGCAAACACTCTTACTGTCTCTCCACAGGCCCATCTCTCTCTGCCTTGAATACTCCACCCATTTCCTTCCTGGTTTGTTTTGGAGAACAGAATCTCACTATGTAGCCAATGATGACCTTGAACTTCTGATCCTCCTACCTCTGGCTCCAAAGTGCTGATATCATAGATGTGAGCCTTCACTCCTGATTTAGGTGGTGCTGGAGAATTGAACCCAGGGCTATGTGCATGGTGGGCAAGCACTGTACCAACTAAACTACATCCGCAGCCCCACCTTCTGGGTTCTGTTTTTGTTGTGTTTCTTTGACAGGGTATCACTGTGTACATCTGGCTGGCCTAGAACTCACTGTGTCGACCAGGCTGGCCTTGAACTTTCAGAAATCTGCCTGCCTCTGCTTTCTAAGTACTGGGATTAAAGTCAGGCCCCACCATGGCCTGCTTAACCTCCTGGGTTCTTAACATCATCACTTTCTACCTCCAGGCCAGATTAGAAGGTCCTGGAAGGTCCTGGAAGGTCCTGAGGAAGCTGTAGCTACCCTGGTATGTGTGGGAGTAGGTGCCTGTTTTCTATATAGAACACAGTCCTTCTCGAAAAAGGACAGGAAGATAAGTAATACAAAAAATGTGATGACATGCAGGTCACACACTAGTCCTAGCCTGTCGGCCTCACCTTGGTCAAGGCGTACATCCCCAACAGGTTCACTTCTAGCAGTTCTCGGAAGCCCTCTATGGATGTCTCCTCAGGCCACTGAGCAGGTGGGTCTAAGGGAAAGAAGAGGATGAGGCTGGGACAGGATGGCAGGTGCACAAGGTAGAGGTGTCAGAGAAGAGGGAAGTGTTGGGGTGCAGGAAAGGAAGGAGGCTGTATAGAGTTAATGCAAATGCAGTTTCTGCAAACCAGGGCATGTTGCCTCAGGACTGTCATCCAAGCCCCTCACTGGGGGATCCTAGGCAGGGGCTCTACCCCTGAGCCACACCCCAGCCCCTCACTAGGGTAGTCTAGGCAGGGGCTCTCCCCCGGAGCCACACCCCAGCCCCTCACTAGGGTAGTCTAGGCAGGGGCTCTCCCCCGGAGCCACACCCCAGCCCCTCACTAGGGTAGTCTAGGCAGGGGCTCTCCCCCGGAGCCACACCCCAGCCCCTCACTAGGGTAGTCTAGGCAGGGGCTCTCCCCCGGAGCCACACCCCAGCCCCTCACTAGGGTAGTCTAGGCAGGGGCTCTCCCCCGGAGCCACACCCCAGCCCCTCACTAGGGTAGTCTAGGCAGGGGCTCTCCCCCGGAGCCACACCCCAGCCCCTCACTAGGGTAGTCTAGGCAGGGGCTCTCCCCCGGAGCCACACCCCAGCCCCTCACTAGGGTAGTCTAGGCAGGGGCTCTCCCCCGGAGCCACACCCCAGCCCCTCACTAGGGTAGTCTAGGCAGGGGCTCTCCCCCGGAGCCACACCCCAGCCCCTCACTAGGGTAGTCTAGGCAGGGGCTCTCCCCCGGAGCCACACCCCAGCCCCTCACTAGGGTAGTCTAGGCAGGGGCTCTCCCCCGGAGCCACACCCCAGCCCCTCACTAGGGTAGTCTAGGCAGGGGCTCTCCCCCGGAGCCACACCCCAGCCCCTCACTAGGGTAGTCTAGGCAGGGGCTCTCCCCCGGAGCCACACCCCAGCCCCTCACTAGGGTAGTCTAGGCAGGGGCTCTCCCCCGGAGCCACACCCCAGCCCCTCACTAGGGTAGTCTAGGCAGGGGCTCTCCCCCGGAGCCACACCCCAGCCCCTCACTAGGGTAGTCTAGGCAGGGGCTCTCCCCCGGAGCCACACCCCAGCCCCTCACTAGGGTAGTCTAGGCAGGGGCTCTCCCCCGGAGCCACACCCCAGCCCCTCACTAGGGTAGTCTAGGCAGGGGCTCTCCCCCGGAGCCACACCCCAGCCCCTCACTAGGGTAGTCTAGGCAGGGGCTCTCCCCCGGAGCCACACCCCAGCCCCTCACTAGGGTAGTCTAGGCAGGGGCTCTCCCCCGGAGCCACACCCCAGCCCCTCACTAGGGTAGTCTAGGCAGGGGCTCTCCCCCGGAGCCACACCCCAGCCCCTCACTAGGGTAGTCTAGGCAGGGGCTCTCCCCCGGAGCCACACCCCAGCCCCTCACTAGGGTAGTCTAGGCAGGGGCTCTCCCCCGGAGCCACACCCCAGCCCCTCACTAGGGTAGTCTAGGCAGGGGCTCTCCCCCGGAGCCACACCCCAGCCCCTCACTAGGGTAGTCTAGGCAGGGGCTCTCCCCCGGAGCCACACCCCAGCCCCTCACTGGGGGATTCTAGGCAGGGGCTCTACCACTGAGCCACACCCCAGCCCCTCACTAGGGTAGTCTAGGCAGGTGCTTTACCTCTAAGCCACACCCTAACCCCTCACTGGGAGAGTCTAGTTGGATGCTCTACCACTAGCCATACCTCCAGCCTCATATCTATTTTCCTCACTGTGGAATGTGAATTTTCCTTCTGGGTTCACAACTCAGACACTACTCCTCACAACAGAATTTGGGGCATGGCAGGTGTTCAATTAACATCAGCCTAAGGGAAGGACAGAGATAAAGAAGGGATTTCTATGGCTCCTCAAATCCTTATCTTAATTTGAAGAGGAAAAGCAGCTGAGATGGAAGCCCAGCTGGCCCAGACACTCCTCTGCACACCATCTTTGGAGGAGACTCAGGAAGACTTGTGTGCTTTCTGAACCTCAGTTTACCGCCTTGACATACTGTCCTGTAGGGCAGCAATGGAGCTAATGAAAACTCAGTCTAGAATCTGATAAAGTGTGCCTGGGGCCATCTTCCTGGGGAAGCCCTGAACATTTAGCCTTCAGCAAGGCAGGAACTGTACCCAAGGCTCTGAGAATAACATGGGGGATGGTGGCCTAACCTCCTTTAGGGACCACAACACTCTGAAAGGAAAAAGTGATGACTCTTATTCCAGAGGTTTGGAAACAGACGCACAGGGAGAGCAGGACTCAGCAAAGACAAACAGAAAGCCAGGCTGGGGGTCTAGCCTACTGTAAGGAGAGAGGTGTGACCTGAGGAGGGCTTCTGAGGAAGAGGGGAACTTGAGGTTCAGAGGAAGGAGTGGGGCCACTGAGATGGCTCAAGGGGTAAAGGCACATGCAGCGAAGTCTGGCGACCTGAGTTTGAGCTCTGGGACCCACATGGTGGAAGTTGTCCTCTTACCTGCACACATGTACTGTGATACATGAGTGTGTCTACTGTGCTGGATAGCATTAGTGTCAACTTGACACACCTGGGTTGAGGGAGCCTCAACTGGGGAATTGCCTCCATTGGACTGGCTTGTGGCCATGTCTGTGGGGGCATCTTCCTAATTGTTGAGTGATGTGGGAGGGCCCAGCCCACTGTGGGTGGTGCCACCCCAGGCAGGTGGGCCTGTGTTGTATAAGAAAGCAGGCTGAGCAGGGGGCCAGGCCCGAGTAAGCCAGTAAGCAGTGTTCCTCCATGGCCTGTGCTCCAGCTCCTGCCTCCAGGTTCCTGCCCTGAGTTTCCACCTTGGGCTGCTTGATGAACTGTGACCCGGGAGATGTAAGATAAATAAACCCTTTCCTCCCCAAATTGGTAGTGGTCACAGTGTTTTGTCACAGCAATGAAGAAACAAACTAGGACACCTACCCATGTGAACACACACGTAAACAACTGTAATTTTTTGCTTTTTTGAGATAGGGTCTCTCTGTGTAGCCCTGGATGACCCTGAACCTCTGCTTGCTAAGTGCTGGTATTAAAGGAGGCAGAGGCAGAGGCAGAGGCACGTAGAGCTCTGTGAGATCAAGGCCAGCCTTGGATACATAGTGAGTCCAGGCCAGCTGTGGCTACAGGGAGACCCTGTCTCAAAAATAAACAAAACCAGAGAATGGTGGGAACTCAGCAGGCAGAGCAATCAGGAGGCAGAGGCAGGTAGATCTCTGTGAGTTCAAGGCCAACCTGGTAGCAAGTTCCTGACCAGCTGGGGCTACAGGGAGACCCTATCTCAAAAAGGAAGGAGTGGGGTTGGAGAGATGGCTCAGCAGTTAAGAGCACTGGATGTTCTTGCAGAGGACCCGAGTTCAGTTCCCAGCACCCTCATGGCAGCTAACAACTGTCCATAACTCAAGTTCTGAGGAATCCAACGTCCTCTTCTGGTCTCTGCAGGCACTGCATGCATGGGTGCACTTACATGCAGGCAAAACATTCATACACATTTTAAAAAATATTTAAGAAGAAGGAATGGAGGAAGTAGGACGTGGGTAGACATCAAGGGACATTGGCCCTGGGGCCTCACAACTTACGGTAGCCAGCATTGTTCACTACACAATCCAGGCGACCAAATCGGGAGAGGGTCTCAGAAATCAGCGTCTGAGGACAGAGGAAACAGCAGGTGATAAGCCTGGAAAAGTCATGAGGCAGAAAGGAAGAGTAGGCTCAGGTGAGGAAGGGACCCAGAATCACAGAGTAGGCCTAGGCAGAAGGGAGAGATAGAAAGCCAAGAGCTGGACTTCACAACACAGTGACCATTCTAGAAAATCGCAGTGGTAGAGAAACAAGATGGAGAAAGAGCAAGTTAAGAGAGAGAGAGAGGACAGAGGCAGAGACCCTGAAAGAGGGGGACAGAGGCAGAGACCCAGAGAGCCCAGAGAGAGGGGGAGATACAGAGACAGAGGCAGAGACCCAGAGAGAGACAGAGACAGAGATCCAGCAAGAGAGGAATAGAGACCCAGAGAGAGGGGGACAGAGACTCAGAGAGAGGGGGGATTGAGATAGAGATGGGTGGAGGACGACAGAGGAAGGGTCAGAGACCCAAAGAGAAAGATACAAAGGCAGAAACCCAGACAGAGAGAAAAACAGAGAAAGAGAGAGAGAGAGAGAGAGAGAGAGAGAGAGAGAGATTGATACACACAGAGACAGACAGATCCAGACTGGGAGATAGACCTGGGGGCAGATGACAGATACTGAGAACAGGAAAGTTAGAAACTGCTGTGGAAGGAAACAAAGGTTTGAAGTTCCCATTCCTAAAGATCTGACAGGTGTTGTAAGAGCTAGAAGAGGGCGAGAGAGAAGCAGGGGGACCTGTGTACACAGAGTTGACAACTGAGGTGGAGTCGGGTAGCTAGAGAGAGTTGGTAGTCATTAGAGATGGGGTATAGGGACAGAACAGAAAAGACTCACCTGCAAGTCTCCTTCCTGAGTCATGTCACAGGCAATGAAGGCAGTGCCAGAAAGTTCCTGCTCCAGAGCTCGGCCTCCCGCCTCTGTAGGAGAAAGACTCTGGATCTGAGGGGAGCAGGGTCTGAGGGAGGAGGCTCTGGGCTCAGACACCAGGGTCTGAGAGAAGAGGACAAGGGTCTGGATCCCTGGGTCTGAGGGACGGAGGTTGCAGAGGAAAGGACAGGGTTGAGGGAGAACAAACCGGCTAGGGAGAGGAAGGACGAGGTTGAGGACTGATGGACAAACTCACCATCCTTGTCACAGAAAACCACTTGGGCCCCACTGTCCACTGACAACAGAAAGAAAAAGTTACCAAACCCACACAGATTCAGGTCACGGCCTGTGCTGCCCTCTTGTGGTCACCTGGAGCGGTGCAGCTCAGGGGCTGCTCCTGTGACCTGTCTCATGACCTGTCCTCTCAGAAGGGGCAAAATCTTATCCAGGGGCTGCTGAGCCCTCATCTTGGGTTCTAGAATAAATCCCAAATCTACAAGAAATGCATTACCCAAAGCAACTGTTTTCAGCTAGAGTGACAGACCCCGCAGGGTGACTAGCAGTTTGTATGCCCCTCCTTGCAGCGAAGGCCCGGAGCCATTGCTCCGCACAGTCCAAATTGACTATTGCAAGAACAAGATTGGAGCCTTGTGCTCCACTCTGCATGAGCCTCCACATGCCCCATGAGTTCTGTACTACCTTCCAAATGTGGGCAGGAAGACCCCCCTACTCACCAAAGGCTCTCACGATCCCAGCACCAATGCCTCGACCGCCCCCGGTCACCACCACCACCTTTCCGGCACATCGAGTTCCTGAAGCCATTCCAAGTCCACTGCCTCTCTCTCACACCCTCGGGGCCTCTTTCCACCTCCAAAGTCCAGAGAAGCAAGGGGACGGAACCAGATATACAGATATACAGGCTGGATCCTGGAAGGCCAGCCCTGGGGTGTTCCCAGGAAAGCTACACACCTGGGAGCACGGAGACACACCTCTCCTCCCTCAGACCTGGAAGACCAGCACTGCCTCCTCCCTCTGACCTAGAAAACCAGGCCCCAGGTATCCTCCCTCAGACCCAGGGAATCAGACCTAAATCATCCTACTTGTCATGAGACAGGTCCTACCCTTGAGACTCAGGGGTCCAGACCCCACCTTCCTCCTTCAGACCAGGGGTCCTCCCCAGCCTCCTCCCTCAGACCCAGGGGACTAGGCCCTCACCCTCCTCCCTCAGATCCAGGGTCCTCCCCAGCCTCCTCCCTCAGACCCAGACATCCAAGCCCTCTCCCTCCTCCCTCCGACCCAGGAGTCCTGGCCTCAGCCTCCTCCCTCAGACTCTATTTTAAGACCTGGCTCCCCACTTCCTCAGACCTGAGTCTAAGGCCCCTGCCTCCTACCCATCAGAGCCCAGTGTCACAACCACAAACAGAGAATAAAGCTATTTATTGACTAATGGTTCAAAGTTTTAATCCAAGTTTGAACAGTGTAGGGGTAATCAATCTTTGACCACAGTAACCCTGGGACCAAACCACGCCCCCTGTCGTCCTGAATGGCCCCACAGCGCAGGGTGGTACCTCCAGGCCACGCCCCCACGCTGCGATTGGCCGGTCAGAAGCTGGACTGCAGCAGAGTGACTCTCAGAGGCCACGCCCCCTCACCCTGGGTCAGTGCGGGAGGGGCGTTCCCGGGGTCCCAGGTGGACTCCCAAGGGGCGGGACCTCGGCTCCGCCCACTGCCCTGGCGTGAGAATCCCATAGTGGCACAGTTAGCCTTGTGAGAAGCTGGGGACAAGGAGACGTGGGGCAGTTCGGTGAGAGGCTGCGGCCCTGGAGAGAGACAGTCTCCCCGCGAGTTTGAATTTCCCCCTGGAGAGCCTAAATGGAGAATGAGAACAGTAAACAGATCTGTACTCCACACTTCCAGCCACCTCCCTCAGATTAGGAGTCTTCCCCAGCCTCCTCCCTCAGACCAGGAGTTCTCCCCAGCCCTCCTTCCTCAACAAGAGTCTTCCCCAGCCTCTTCCCTCAGACCCAGGAATCCAGACCCCAGCCTCCTCCCTCAGACTCAGGGATCCATACTCCAGCCCTCCTTCCTCATAGATAGGAGTCCAGGCTCCAGGCTTCTCCCTTAGACCCAGGAGTCCTCCCCAGCCATCCTCCCTCAGAGTCTGGGCCTCTCACCTGTCATCAGCCTGTGCCATTGTGAAGCCTCAGTGGCTAGAGCTTGGGAGAGGCTGAGGACCCGCTCCCGGTGGCCTTCGGATGTTGGCAGGTAAGGTGTGGCATGCCTGGGACTAGAGAAAATAGAACATGGTGTCCAGCCCTCCATGTCCTCTTAGGAGTTGTAGTTCTCACTTTAGGTGCAGGCCCAGTGCACTGTGGGTCTGTAGTCTAGTCATCATTACCCAATTGTTGGATGGATGGCTAGGGTTTGATACAGGCTGGGGGAGTTGAGGGAACTGCGGTTCTTGATGGGGCAGGAGGGGCATCCTGGCTCCACAGCAGAAGCCCCACCAAGGCCTCTGCAGCTTGGGGACTTGTAGTTCAGTGCACCACAGACTACACACACAGCACCACTGCCTCCCACCCCAGATCTCCCTCCCCACCCGCCTCAGATCCGTACCTACTCCAGGACCCAGAGCTCCGGAGCCATTTTGCAGCTCCTACAACAGGCTGGAAAGGAATTAAGTGGTTAGAGTTCCTGCCTTGGGGGATGGTCCCAAGTTCAAGGCCAGCCTCCTGAGTGGTATGGAAAGAGACTCTTTCTTTTTTGGTCTTTTTGAGACAAGGTCTCCCTGTATCCCCAACTGGCCTGGAACTCACTATGTAGACCAGGCTGGCCTTGAACTCACAGAGATCTGCCTGCCTCTGCCTCCTGAGTGCTGGGATTAAAGGTGTGCACCACCACCCCAGAGCAGAAAGAGATAGTTTCTAAGAGGAAAAAAATCATGAAAGGAACAGAGAGGGGAGGAGAGGGTAAGGGAGGGGAGAGAAAGGGATGGAAAGAAAAGCAGGAAAATTCCTGACATTCTCCCCCCACACAGCAGCTCACATGGGTACGGAGGTCAGGACAATCTGGGGTATCTGTCCTCTGGAATCTCACTTTTCCTTTGAGACAGAATTTCTCATTGGCCTGGAACCTTGGCTACTTGGTCAGGCCAGAGCTTACATGGACCTGCCTGTCTGTGTCCCATCCTGTTTCCATCACTGGTAGGATAGACATGTACCACCACCCCAGGCCTTATATGTGGGTTCTGGAGATCCGAAGGCAGGTCACAAATCTGAATCCATCTCCTCAGCACTCCTGCCCCCACCACCTTTTTTAAGACAAATTCTTCTGTATCCCAGGTTGGCCTTGGACTCCTGAGTCTCCTGCCTCCACCTCCTGAATACTGGGGTGACAGGCATGCACCACCACCAGCCCTCACTTCTTATTTTTAGGGTAACAGTGAGGGGCCCCTAAAATGGGTCTAATTGTAGGTGTACAGTAGGGTCTTCCCTATAAAGGTTGCTCTGGTATGGCTCTAAATGTTCCTTCCCAAAGGTCTGTGTGTTTATCTCCCCAGCTTGTGGTGCTATGGAGATGTGATTGGACAATGATCAATGGATCAATTAATTAATCCACAGATCAGTGTTAGAACCCAGGCTTGTGCCTTTAGAACTGATCCCACAACCTGAATCAGACCCAGGACCCCCTGACGCTCTCTCTGGAACAGAGTCTGTGTCATGACTCTCAATTTGCAGACTTTTCCTCTGTTTTGAGAACTGGCCTAAGACTCCTCAGGGGGATATTCTCTCTCTCTCTCTCTCTCTCTCTCTCTCTCTCTCTCTCTCTCTCGCACATGGGTATGGATGTCAGAGGACAACCTTTGGGGGGGTCCCCTCCACTTGCATCTCCCACTTTTTCTTTGAGACAGGGTCTTTCATTGGCCTGTGAGCTTCTAGGGGTCTGCCTGTGTGCTCCCCATCACTGGGGTGCTAGGCGTGCATGGTCATGAGGCTGTGGGGGGAGCCAGCAAGCAGCCTTCCCCCTTCAAGTTCCCGCCTGACTTCCCTTGATGATGGACTGTGATCTGTAAGCTCTCCCAAGTTGCTTTTGGTTAAAGTGTTTCTCGCAGAAACCCAAAGGGAAGAGAGCATACTGCTGACTTCTCAGTGCACCCCCAGAGGAAGGGAGATCTGGGTGCACCCAAAGGAAGGGGAGAGATCACTCCACAAGGTACAAGGGCCAGGCACAGCTGTCAAATTCCTGGGAGCATTATGGTCTGGTAAGGCGCATATGGTACCTGACAGCTGTTGAGAAAGTTCTATGACAGCCCGTGCCTGCAAATGGAAGAGAGCTGCTGGTCTTCCTGGGGTTCTGGGACACCAGCAGCTTTTCATACCCCACCTTGCCCAAGTGCCCATCCTCTGGATAACCGGATAAACAGGGTGGCCATATGGGATTGGGATGGAAGGCTCAAGAGGCCTTCAAGCAGGCTATGATGCTCTTAGGACAGCTGTGTGTCCATTACCCAGAGGTGGACGGGACATGTCCATAAGTCAACTGACAAATAGACTATATCAGGCCTGCCTGTCAGTGAGAGACGCAAGTGTGCCTTCATCTGTGTGGACAGGCATTTCCATGCAAACAACAGGCCAAGGCACCATCAAGTGTCTCACCCAATTAAGCACTATGCATGGATGTCCATGAAGAATTGAGTGACAGGGACATACCACAAAGACTATGCAGACCTGAGCTGAAGGCAACCAGGGACAACGGTACGTCCACCCACTGTACCATCCTACTGGGGCTGGATTAACTGAACTGAAAAATACATTATTAAATTAGTTAAAAAGCCAGATATGGCAGTGCACGCCTTTAATCCCAGCACTTGGAGGTAGAGGCAGATCTCTGTGAGATGAAGGCCAGCCTGGCCTGCATAGCAAATTCTCAAACAAACAAACAAACAAACAAAATGATAAAAGGGATGGCTCAGAGGTTAAGAGCCCTGGCTGTGATTCAGTTCCCAGCACCCACATGGCAGCTAACAACCATCCTTAACTCCAGTTTCAGGGGATCTGATGCCCTCTTCTGGTCTCCATGGACATTGCATGACACAGGTGTACTTACATACATGCAGGTAAAACATACATTATAAAATAAAAATATGGGACTGGAAAAATGGCTTAGTGGTTAAGAGCACTGGCTGCTCTTGCAGAGGACCCAGGTTCAATTCCCAACACCCACTTGGTGGCTAACAATGGTCCATAACTCCAGTTCCAGGGGAATCCAATGCCTTCTTCTGACCTCTGCAGGCATTGCATGACACAAGCTGCACTTACACACATGCAAGCAATACACTCATACACATAAAATAAAAATAATATTTTTTAAAATAATAAAGCCGGGCATGGTGGTTTACACCTTTAATCTCAGCACTCGGGAGACAGAGGTAGGGGATCTCTGTGAAATCAAGGCCAGTCAGGTCTCCATAGTGAGTTCAGGCCAGCCAGGGCCAACAGGGAGACCCTGTCTGAAAAAGATCAAATAATAATAATAATAATAACAATAATAAGATAAAAAAATTTTAAAGAGGGCTGGAGAGATGGCTCAGTGGTTAAGAACACTGGTTGTTCTTGCAGAAATCCCGGGTTCGAATCCCAGCACCCACATGGCAGCTAACAACTGTCCGTAACTCCAGTCCCAGGGGATCTGACAGCCTCTTCTGTCCTCCGTGGGCATTGCACAACATGGGTGCATTTACCTATATGCAGGCAATACATATAAAATGAAAATAAATAAAAAATTTAAAATTTTTTTAAAAGAACAGTTGAAGTTCAGGAGGTGACTTGCACAGGTAGAAAAAACACTCCCAAAGGCTACAGGTTGTTAAATAAGAATGCCAAGGGTGGGCTTCCCCCTTGTGAGTGTGGACCAGAGAAGCCCTGGAGGCCCCCTCCCCATCATACAAATCATAAAGCTGTTACTGCTGTTGGTTGCATGCCAGAGCTAAATGGAAAGACCCTGTAGCTGAAGACACGGCATGCTTTGGTTGCAGGATGTGGAGAAATCGGACTGGGACTGGGCTAGACATGCTCTCCTTACTGGCTGGCTTTCGTGGTGTCTGAGGTGCTATGTGGGCTGCTGGGGGGAACTGTTACCAATACTCCTGTTCAGTTATGGATGCTGCACACTACAGTACCAGAATGCCAAGTAGAGTGTGCCTGCTTGTGCAATAGTGGCATGATTACCTCGGTTCAATCAACAGCTTTCCAATTGGATTTAAGGCCCGATCCACAGGAGGGAGTTAACATCTGGTACCGTAAGCCAGAAGCAAAAGCCCGTGACTGGGGAGGTCACAGGCCCATCAGGGAAACGACTTCAACTGTTTTATTACATGAATGTGATTTGCCTGTCAAACTGCCCAGAGATCACTGCTGCTGTGGAAAGAAACTTCATTTGTGAATGATGGCGCATTCCAGAGACTCATAACACCAGTGAAGCTCCTGAAAACACGTGACTGTCACAGCCACACGTGGCTTTAGATTGCCATCCACATCACCCCTAGAGGGCTCAGAGGGAGACAGTGAGGAGAGAATGTAAGAGCAGCTGACAGGTTTTTCCTGCCAGGGAGCTACCTGGAAGTCCAGGGACTCAGGCTTTGTGTCACCCACCATGCCTACAGCTGCTTCAGGGTCGTCCCTGCTCCCATGACCCCTTGACCCACACTGCGGTTAGTAACCCCAGAAAGACTGACTCACTGCTTCTCCAAGGTGGACCTTGGTGCAATCGTTACATTGGTCTGTCATGGGCTCCCTTTCTGGGTGAGCAGACGTGTGTGTGATGGATGGATGTGTGTATGTGTGATGGGCAGGTATGTATGTGATGGGTGTCTATAGTGTGTGTATGTGTGTGATGGGTGTAGGGTGACTACGTGTATGTGATATGTGTATGTAATTGTGTATGGTGTTTGTGTGATGGGTCTGTGTGGTATGTGTGTGTGGTAGGTAGGGTGTAAGTATGTGGTTGTGTGATGTGTGTGTGATAGATGTGTGTCTGATGGGTGTGGTGTGAATTATGCGTGTGTGTGTGAGATGGGTGCATGTGTGTATGTATATGTATATGTGATGAGTGTATGTGATGTGCATGATGGATGTGTGTGGTGTATGTGTGTATGTGATGAGTGTGTATGTGTGTGATGGGTGTGTGTCTGTGTCTGTGTGATGGGTGTGTGTATGGTGTATGTTTATGTGCGTGATGGGGCATGTGTGTAGCGTATGTGTGTGATATATGTTTGATGTGTGTGTGGTGTATATATACATACATGTGTGTATGTATGAGCGTGTGATGTTAGTGTGTGATGGATGTGTGTGTGGTGTATGTGTGCATGTGATGGGCATGTGTGTGGTATGTGTGGTATATGTTTCTGTGCATGATGGAGGCACATGTGTAGTGTATGTGTGTGATGTGTGTGATATGCATTTGATGTGTGGTGTGTGTATGTACATGCATGTGTATATGTATAGTGGATGTGTGATGGATGTGTGAGTGGTGCATATGTGTGTGATGGGGTGTGTGTATATATGTGTAGTGTGTCTGTGATGGGTGTGTATGTAGTATGAGTACATATGTGTAATATGTGTTTGATGTTTGTATGTGTGTATGTATTTGTGTGGAACGGATGTGTGTATGTATGAGTTGGTGTGTGTATTGTGTGAGTTGTATGTGTGTGCACATGTGGGATGTGTGTCATGTGAGTGTGTGTCACGTGAGTACGTGTGTGTGTGTATGTGTGGTGTCCTCCCCCAGGAAGTCTCTCACACACTCTCTGTCCTGCTCTGTCAACCCAGCCCCAGGACACCGGGAAGCTGTGGAAAATACAAGTCAGGATGACCAAGTCAGACAAGGAATGGGAAGTATTCTCATTCTACGAAGCCAGGGAGCTACAGATGTGGCATAGTGGGCAGAGTGCCCATCTACATGCACGAAGCCCTGGGTTTCATCCCCAGCAAAGCATAAGCCAAGTGTGTCTTATCACACTTGTGTGATAAGTATATCACAAGTCTGTCACCCCAGCACTAGGGAGGCAGATGGAGGAGGACCAGCCTTGGCTATGCAGCTAGTTCAAGGCTAGCCTGGCATACAGAGACAGTCTCAACAAAAACAGACTCAAGCTGGTAGAAGACCCTCTACCCTCCGCAGGCCCCCACTCTTCTCACCCTTTGCTCTGTATCAGGCTGGCGTCCGGCTGGGGACATTGCCCTCCCCAGGGTCAGGAGCCTGGGGGAGGCAGGACGAGGGAGGGGGAGCCCACACGCCTGGTTCCTGCGCATGCGCTCAAGCTGCTCCTGGGCACTCATGCGGGGCCGAGCCACGGGGGCCTGGGGAAGAGAGGGACACCAAGACTCCAACCTTGGATTTCCTCTTTATGTTCCAGAAATTTCCTACCAACAGCCTGGCACTTTCCAGAACATTCATCACAGTTCCTCAGGAGGAACCTTGAAAACCTGGACTTGCTGCAGTCCCTCCTGGATCCTGGACTCCAAGGGACCACACACCATGCACCTCTCTGGCCTCACTCCATCACCTGCCCTGACTCAAGTGACAGGAAGCACTTAGACCATCAGCTTCTCCAGTAACGACACTAAGTGCAAAACACTAGCTCCTTTTTGGAGGAAGAAGTACCCAGGGACTTCCACATGCCAAGCAGGGGCTCTACCACTGAGCCACACCCCAGCCCCTCACTGGGGGAGTCTAGGAAGGGGCTCTACCACTGAGCCACACCCCAGCCCCTCACTGGGGGATTCTACTAGGCAGGGGCTCTACCCTGATACACACCCCAGCCCCTCATTGGGGGATTCTAGGCAGGGGCTCTAGCACTGAGGAGTCTAGGCAGGGGCTCTACCACTGAGCCACATTCCAGCCCCTCACTGGGGGAGTCTAGGCAGGGGTACTACCCTGATACACACCCCAGTCCTTCACGGGGGGATTCTAGGCAGGGGCTCTACTGCTGAGCCATATCACCAACCATGTATTTTGCTTTAAACCTTATGTGTTGTAGACAAGCCACTCAGCCCCATTACAAAGGTGAAAAACATGAAGACTCAGAGAGGTTTAGTAACTAACCCAAACCACTCAGCTGGAGGAAGTTGGCATAAAAATCCTGTCTGCTTTCATTGTGGTTTCAGAATTGGCTTCTTGGGTCTAGAGAGATGGCTCAGTGGTTAAGAACACTTTCTGCTCTTCCAGAGGACCCAGGTTGGGTTCCCAGCACCCACATGGCAGCTAACAACCATCTGTAACTCCAGTTCCAGAGGATCCAACACTCTCTGCTGGTGTGGGCACTGCACATTCATATAGGCAAAACACTCATACACATAAAAAATAAATAAATCTGGGGACTGGAGAGAGGGCTCAGGAGTTAAGAGCACTGACTGCTCTTGCAGAGGACCCGGGTTCGATTCCCAGCACCCACATGGCAGCTAACAACCATCCATAACTCCAGTTCCAGGAGATCCCATGCCTTCTTCTGATCTCTGAGGGCATGCGCGACACCAGTGCACTCACATATATGTAGGCAATACCTCCTACACATAAAATAAGAATATTAAAATATTTTTTAAAATCTTTAGAATCCTTAAAGGTCAGCAATGGTCAGAACAAATAGTTCTGAGAGCCCTAAGGCATCAAAGAGAAGGCCTACCTTGGTTCCCAGCTTTGGGGATGGGGGGCGGCGACCCTCGGGACTGGATGCCCTGGAGACCCTTGGAGACTCAAGACCTTGAGGGACAGAAGGGGACTTAGTAAGGGTTGAAACACGGAGGCCCACCCCACTGGGGTGCTCACCTGAGCTAGGGCTGGTGAGGGCTCTGTCACTTCCTGGGAGTCGCCCCCAGTCCACCTCAGGGGACTGAGGGGAGCTAAGTTCCAGAGACTCAGGCAGGCTCTAAAGAGGTGAAAAGGGAACAAAATATTGTAATTATTATCACTACTACTAACATTTTTCAAGTATTTAGCAAGATTGCAAACCCAGCCCAGTGTGGTGGCACACACTTTCAATCCCAGCATTCGGGAGGCAGAGGCAGGAGGATCTCTGTGAGATTGAGGCTAGCATGATCTACATAGTGAGTTCCAGTCCAGCTAGCTACAGGGAAACCCTATCTAAAAAGAAAAAGATTACAAATCCAGAGTCAGCTTCAAATTCTATCTCTACCATTTACTAGTTGTGTGCCTTTGAACAAGCTGCTTGACCTCTCTGTGCCATAGTCCACCTGTTGATATGTAAAGCAGGTAAAACAGTGTTTTCCCATGAGTACCCATTGGGCACCTATGATGATCTGGCTGATACAATGGTGTAGGAACTTCCCTGTGATGCAGCTGTCTTTGACTCACCATATTCCTGTATTAAGCCCAATAAACTCACTCATTCACCAACCTGGACTTGATGGAGTGGATGGACACTTTGTCACACCTCCCCAGGAAAAGTCAAGTGACAAACTCCACAACATAAACATTACATAAACAGTCTGGGAGATGACTCAGCAGGTAGGGGCACTTGCTGCCAAACCTCAAGGATGATTTGAGCTCTAGTCCCAGGACCCACATGGCAGGGGAGAGAACTGAATCCCATAGGTTGTTTTCGAGGTCCACATGATGCAGTGTGGCATGTGTGTGTGTGCACGCATGCACACACACACACACACACACAGTGATAGCAGTTTTTGTAATTAAAAAAAATTATATAGCTAGGTGTGGTGGTGCACACCTTTAATCTCAGCTCTCTGGAGGCAGAGGTAGGTGGATCTTGTGAAATTGAGGCCAGCCTGGTCTACACAGAGAGTTTCAGGCCAGCTAGGGTTACAGGGAGACCTTGTCTCAAAAAAAAGTAGGGGGCTAGAGAGATGGCTATGGTTAGGAGCACTTGCTGCTGTTCCAGAGGACCCAGGTTTGGTTCCCAGTACCCACATAGCAACTAACAGCTGTCTGTAATTCCAGTTCCAGGGAATTCGATGCCTTCTTCTGTCCTCTGGCATTGCATGCATGTGTGCACTTACATACATGCAGGCAAGCACTCATACATATAAAAATAACAAATCTTAAATTATTTATTTAGTTAGTTATTGAGGTTTTCTTTTTGAGATAGTGTCTCACTATGTAGATCAGGCTAGCCTTGAACTTAGAAATCTGCCTATCTCTACCTCCCAAGTGATGGGATTAAAGGCATGGGCCACTATGCCCAGCTTTAATTTAGTTTTATTCTATGTGTGTGAGTGTTTTGCCTGAGGTCAGCAGGGGGCATTGGATCCCCTGGAACTGGAGTTATAGATGCTTATTAGCCACCCCATGGGAGCTGAGAACCAAGCTCGGGTCCTCCAAGCCAGCCACCAGTGCTCTTAACCACAGCCATCTCTCCAGCCCCTGTGATGATTAGTTTTCAGTATCAACTTGACACTTGGGGAGGGAGTGTCAGTGAGGGATTGTCTAGATCTTGTTGTCTTGTAGTCAGGTCTGAAGGAGTGCCTTCATTGTGTTCGCTGACATGGGAAGACCTAGCCCACTGTGGCAGCACCATCACCTAGGTGCGGGTCCTGATGAGTGGAGAAGGTGGCCAAGCACAGACGCATTCATTCTCCCTCTTTGCTTCACTAAGGATGTAACAAGCTGCCTTGACTTCCCCAGGGTAACCGGGCATGGTGAGCCCACTGAATCCTTTCTCCCTTAGAGCTGCTTTGGTCAAAGTATTTTATCACAGCAATAAGAAACTAAGACACATACACAAATAAAAAAAACAGAATGTAATTAAAAAAGGTTAAATACTAAGTCAGGTGTGGTGGCGCACGCCTTTAATCCCAGCACTCCAGAGGCAGAAGCAGGTGGAGGTTTTTGTGAGTTTAAGGTAAGTTCTAGACCATCTGGGACTACAGGGAGACCCTGTCTCAAAAAAAATAGTTAAATACTAAATAAGTTATAATTCAGCTATTATTATTTCTGCTTCACATATGGTGAAACACAGGCCCAAAATAAGTCAGTGACTGATGTTACAGAGGCAAAACCTGAACCTGGTACATGGTTGGAAGATGAGGCTGAGCAGTGGGCCTGGCCCAGCTGTGATGACAGAGGCCCCATGTGTCCTAAGGGTCAGCTCTGTGTCAGGTGTACTCCAGTCATCCCCTTACCTCCTCGGGCTCCAATCAGTCCCCAGTTTGTTATTCTGCCAGTGTCTGTGGTGTAAACCACTGTGTGAGTTCAAGCTAACTGTATGACCCATCTGGGTGGGGAGATGGGGAGACATGGGCTCTCAGGAACAGACAGGACCTGGCTCCAGTGGACACCCCTGGACCATGACAGCAAGACAGTGGGTCTGTGTTTCTGTGGGTTCATGTATAGACTCAACACATCAATAACTGAAAATAGGAAACAAGAAAATAGAGCCTGTACTCAACATGAGCAGTCATTTCCCTTGTCATTGGCCCTTCAATAACACACCCTAAGGGGTTGGGGAGATGGCTCAGGGGTTAACAACACTGCCTGCTCTTGCAGAGTGTTGGGATAAGTCAGTAGTGCCTGGAATGTAGAATATGGCCCAGCCTGAGACCTCCCAGTGAGGACCGCAGGAGACTGGCCGACTCCATTCTAAACACACTGTCTCTTACCCAACAACCCCCAGGCAAAACTATTAGGTCTCTAATCCCCTAATCCTAACCCGGTCTCTTGTAGATCATGTGACCTTGAGGACAGGCCAAAGGCCACGTAGCCTTAGAAGCTCCCTCCCTCCCCCTACCTACCTGCCCGCCAGAAACCCAACCCCGCCTCTTTGCCTGTGACACTTCCCAATAAAAATTTCTCCTTCGCCATATTAAAATGAGCTGTCCGCTGACACAATCTCCAGGTATTTTCTTCCGTCTTACATCATACTCACCGCTGCCCGAGGCCCCTCTTGCCACATTGGTCTCTCTCCTCACCCCAACCTTCCGTAATGGGGACCAGTGTGCAAAGGCCTCCTGGGAGCAGTGGAGTTCCGGTTGAGGGGAGGCTGACAGCAGAGAACCTGGGTTCAGTTCCCAGCACCCACATGGCAACTCACAACCATCTATAACTCCAGCTTCGTGGGATCCAATGCCATCTTCTGGCCTCCTTGGGCATCAGTGCACATACATACATACATACAGGCAAACACTCATACACATAAAACAAAAATAAATAAATCTTGGGACTGGAAAGATGGGTCAGTGGTTAGAGGTACTGGCTGCTCTTCTGTCCAGGTTTGGTTCCCAGCATCCATATGGCCACTAACAAGTGTTCAAAACTCCAGTTCTAGGGCATCTGACACCTCTTCTGGCCTTTCCAGGTATTGCACGCACATAGTACACACTTACATATATACAGGCAAAACACTGATATACATCAAAAATAAAAATAGTCTGGGACCCTTCTCATACAAAACTATAGCAATGGTGCACAAGACCCATGCAAACTTAGGCAGACAAAAACCCAGCACAGAACTGTGGAAATGAACAGCAGGCCCCAACCACAGTCAAAGAATTATTAGCAGCTGATTACTGCTGGGTGAGGAAGAACAGAGCTTCTTGAAGGGAGGGACTCTAGATAGGCTGACTAAACCCGGGTGGATGAACTTGCACTGAGCGACATCTGGGGACACTAACTCTCCATGATAGGCCTTAACACAAATGACAGAATGAACTCCAGTGGGGGAGCTGTGGGAGGGTGCCAAAGAGAAAGGGGTACAAAGATGATTTTATGTATGAAATACACAAAATTCAATAAAAAAATAAAAAAATAAAAAACAAATAAAAATAATCTTTTAAAATAGTAATAATGAGCTGGGTGTAGTGGTGCACACCTTTAATCCCAGCACCTGGGAGGCAGAGGCAGGTGGATCTTTCTAAGTTCGAGGCCAGGCTGGTCTATATATCCAGTTCCAGGCCAGCTGGGGTTAGAGGGAGACCCTGTCTCAAAAAGATCAAAATAATAATAATAATAATAATGTGGTAGAACACTTGACCAGTATGTATGAGGTCCTATGTTCAATCCCAGCAGTGGCCCAAAAAAAAGTACATAAATAAAACATAAAAATAATACTACACCCTACAACTATTTACATAGCATTTGCAAGCATTCCATGTTATAAGTAACCTAATGATGCTTTTAAGTATCTGGGAGGAAGTGTATAGGTTGCATGTAAATATATGCTAATGTATGCAAATATTTGTGTATATGCAAACACAAGCTAGTTTACATAGGAGCACAGGCACCTGCAAATTTCCAAAATGGATCCTGGAGCCAATCCCCTGAGGTTGCAGAGGGACAGCCCTATATCAGGTAAGGAAGAAGAAGCTTCTAGAAATAGAGGAGGTACTTGGGGTAACTGATCAAGGGAGAGGGAAAGAGGTGGATAGGGGATCTGCTGGGACAGGAAACTGGGGGATGTCTTACCTCTCGTTCTGAGGACTCTTCTCCTTGGAGTGCAGGGGATGGAGACTCAGTCTCAGTATGTGGGGGCTGTTTCTGGGGACCACCCAGACCTGCCAGTGTGTCTTCCACCATGCACAGCTGCTGCCGAGCAGATGCTCTGTCCTGGAGAAAGATGAAAAAAATAAGATGGTGGCAGCAGCTGATGGGCCCACCCAGCAGGGTCTGAACCAGCTAGTCGGGTTGTCTTGGCTGCTCAGGCCTTTTGAACATCCAGTTTAGGGTCCCAGTGTCAATATGCACAGAAAAATACTGTCAATTTTTTATTAAATTACATTTGCTTTTTTTTTCTTTTATTAAATTTTTATTTATTATTTTTATGTGTATGAGTGTATTGCCCGCATGTATGTGAGTGCACCCGTATCATGCAAGGCCACAGAGGTCAGAAGAGGGCTTCGGATTCCCCTGGAATTAAGGACGGTTCATAGCCACCATGTGGATGCTGGGACACAAACCCAGGTCCTCTGCAAAAGCAGTCAGTGCAGCTGAGCCATCTCTCCAGCCCCAGTTGCTTTTTTTTTTTTTTAATTTTATTCATTTATTTTCATTTTATGTGTATGTATGTGCACCTGTGTCATGCAGTGCCCATGGAGGACAGAAGAGGGTGTCAGATCCCCTGAAAATGGAGTTATGGACAGTTGTTAGCTGCCATGTGGGGGCTGGAATTTGAACCCAGGTCCTCTGCAAGAACAGCCAGTGCGCTTAACCACTGAGTCATCTCTCCAGCCCCTAAATTAAATTTACTTATGTGTGTGAGTCTGCGTGTGTGTGTCTGCATGTGTGTGTCTGCGTGTATGTGTGTCTGTGTGTGTGTGAGTCTCTGTGTGTGTGTGTCTGTGTGTGCATGTGCCACAGCATGCCTGTAGAGTTCAGAAGACAACTTGGGGTAGCTGGTCAGTTTTCTCCTTCCTTCCACCTTGGGTACCAGGGATTAAACTGAGGTTGTCAGGCTTGGCAGCAAAATACCTTTACCCGCAGAGTCAAGATGTAAGCCCCAATTTTTAAAAAAGATTTATTTTATTATTTTATTTATATGTAGGTCTCTTTATTTATATATGGTGCACATGTGTCTACAAGTGCACATGTATGTGCAGGTGCCCAAGGAGGCCAGAAAGAGGCATCGGACCCGTTGGAGCTGGAGTTACAGGAGTTTGTGAGCTGTCTGATTTGGGTGCTGGAATTTAAACTCCAGTCCTCTGATAAAGTAATAGCTCTTAACCACTGAACAATCTCTCCAGCCCCATGATTTCAAATTTGTACAAGAATTGCAGATCCCCATTGCAGAAACCAATCTGGAGGATATACATTTTCCTATGGTTATCTTTCCCATCCATGAACATAAGTCTCTGTTTCCATAGACTTTCAATTTCTCTTTTTAATTTTTATTCTTATTTAATTTTTAAAATATTCTATTTTTATTTTATGTGTGAGTGTATTGCCTGCATGTATGTAAGCGCACCTGTGTCATGCAATGCCTGAGGAGCTCAGAAGAGGGCATCAGATCCCCTGGAACTGGGGTTATGGATGGTTGTTAGTCATCATGTGGGTGCTGGGGCCTGAATTCAGGTCCTCTGAAAAAGCAGCCAGTGCCCTTAACCACTGAGCAATCTCTCCAGTCCCAATCTCTCTCTCTCTCTCTCTCTCTCTCTCTCTCTCTCTCTCTCTCCATGCGTGTGTGTATGTGTGTGTGTGTGTGTGTGTGTGTGTGTGTGTGTGTGTGTGTGAACAGCAGAATCACTAGGGAAGCACCAGACCTCCCTCTTCATCACACTGCATGGTTAGTGACAGGTCTCTGATACCTCCTGAGTGCTGGGATTAAAGGCGTGCGCCACCATGTCCGGCTCAATTTCTCTCTCTCTCCCTTTTTTTGACAGGGTCTCCCTGTAGCCCCCAGCTGTCCTGGAACTCACTATGTAGACCAGGCTGGCCTGGAACTCACAGAGATCCGCCTGCCTCTCCTCCCAAGTGCTGGGACTACAGGCGTGCACCACCACGCCCGGCCCCCAGTTTCTCTTTTAAAAAAAACAGAATTAGGCTGGGCGTGGTGGTACACGCCTGTAGTCCCAGCACTTGGGAGGCAGAGGCAGGCGGATCTCTGTGAGGTCAAGGCCAGCCTGGTCTACATAGTGAGGTCCAGGACAGCTGGGGGCTACAGGGAGACCCTGGTTCAAAACGACCAAAGAAAAAAAAAAAAATTAGGGGATAAAAGGCTGGGTCAGGGGTTAAGAGCACTGACTGCTCTTGCAGAGGACCCGGGTTCGATTCCCTGCACCCACATGGCAGCTGCAAACCGTCCTCAAATGCACTTCCAGGGGAATCCCAAGCCCTCTTCTGACCTCCGAGGCATTGCATGACATGGGTACACTCACTTACATGCAGGCAATACACTCATACACACAAAATAAAAATAGTAAAATATTTTTTTAAAAAAACAAAATTATTTATTTTTATTTCTTATATGTGTGAGTGCTTTGCTGCATGTATATAAATTCACTATGTGAATGCAATGCTAGAGCTAGAAGAGGGCATCAGATCCCCTGGAACTGGAGTTACTGATAGTTATTAGTTCCCATGTGGATGCTGGGAACTGAGCCCAGGTCCTCTGCAAAAGCAGCCAGTGCTAGGGCTCTAACCGCTGAGCCATCTCTCCAGCCCCAACCTTGAACTTCTGACCCTCTAGCCTCTACCTCCTAAGTGCTGGAATCATAGCATGAGCCACCATACCTGGTTTGTGTGGTTTGGGAATCAAACCCCGTGACTTTGTGCACGCTAGGCAAGCACCCTCCCAGCTGAGCCACATCTCCAGTCCTGTACCTGAGCATGAGCTTTTTGTGCCTCAGTCTCCTGGATGTTGGATGAATGTGCATCATTAAAGGCTTGGTTTGGAACTAAGAAGCAAATCTGAGGGTAAGCCGATGGGGTTAGACACACAGGATGAGGGCTTGCACTGAGGGATCAGGCTTGGAACAGGCAACACCAAGCCAGGTGTGGTGACCTGGAATCTGAGCCCTTGAGAGACAGGCAAGATGATCAGGGGCTGGAGAGATTGCTCAGTGGTTAGAGCACTGGCTGTTCTTGCAGAGGACCTGGGTTCAATTCCCAGCACCCACATGACAGCTTAAAACCATCTGTACTCCAGTTCCAACGGATCCAATACCCTCTTCTAATTTACATGGGCATTGCACAACATGGGTGCACTTACATATATACAGGCAATACACTCATACACATAAAATAAAATAAATAAATAAATAAAATATATTTTAAAAAGACGATCATGGGGCTGGATGACTCAGTGTTTAAGAACACTGGCTGTTCTTGCAGAAGACCCAGGTTCAAATCCCAGCACCCACATGGCAGCTAACAACTGTCCATAGCTCCAGTTCCAAGGGATCCAGTTCCAACGTTCTGCGGGCATTGCACAACACGGGTGCACTTACCTACATGCAGGCAATATATGCATACACATAAAATAAAAATAATAAATAAGTATATATTTTTTAAATGGGGTGGG